TCTCTAAAGCATAACAAAACAATACAGCACAAGTTAACTGTTCTTAAAAATACGTTTGAAATAGAATTTCAATAAATACAGGAAATTATATTTTAAAAAGCGTGCAGAACTTAAAACGCGTCAAAGATTATTCTTTTTATGATATTATTAATCGAATAAATATCGATATCGTTTCATAGATTTTATGACAGTTAAGTGGCAACATCGAATCTGACAGGTAGGCCCCCGTCACTGTTATGTCACAAGAATTCAATTGCGTTTGATCGTGTTATTTTGTTTTGTTGGAAAATGCAATTGTTGATCTCTCAACAATTGGATATAATTTTGGAGGTAAGTGTTTAACATTTTTCAATTTATTAAGATTGGTTTATTAAGTGTGATGCTCATATCTGATATCTGATACATGTTTTTACACTGATTGTATATCAACTCAAGAACTTGTTTTATTTTTCCACATCTGCACAAGCTATATCTGACAAACATACTAGCTTATTTATGAGATTGACCATTTTTATTAACTACCAAGAAAGGAGACCGTTGATTTTTCATTGTTTTTGGTCTGCTGGTAGTCTGTCAGGTCTTAATTATTAAATTATATAGGGCATTAAGTCCATCCATATGCAGTAACATTTAACTTGATAAATATTTTATTTATATTTGAGTTTAAAATAAACAAATCTATTTTTTTTCACTTTGACTTCATTTTTTGTATTTTACATTATTTCAGTTACCGTTGTCATGCCGTGTGTATCATAACTGCTGGCAATGAACTGATAGAACAGCATCACATTCAACTGCAGAACGGGAACCATCTGAATCATCTAGTCCATCCTCTTTGCAATCTGAAGTGAGTAATGTATTGCACCCAGAACAACAAAGCTTAGATCATACATCACACAGTGTACTGCTAACTAATTATTTAAAAGCGCCACTAACATCAAATCAATGTTTTTTACCTGGTTGTAACAATTCCAATGGACTCAATGTTCCATCAGCATTGCGAGTATGTATTACAATTACTATTTATGTGTATTATATGTGGTAGAGAAATACTGCAGTTATATTAGAAGTATAGTTGTAGCATGAATGGGTCGGCTCGACTGGGGAAGGACCACGCTCTCACAGAATACCAGCATAAAATAGTAGTTTAATGCTGGTGTGTAGGTGAGTGTAGAGAACCGGAAACCCTTTTTACTGGAAACGAGAAAATGATCATAGTCCTCACGGGTGACAACGCATCTGCATTTTGATTTAATTAAATAGAGGATAGATGTGGATGTCTAAGGGCCGCAGCAATGTCTCCAGCAGATGGTGAATCTCAGTTAATGACAAGATATGCTAATAAATTCAGAGCCGTGACTATGTGTCGATATGAGTAGTAGAGGTGGTGAATGGCATTTTTAAAACTGAATTTAAAATATTTCATCAAAATTTCTTAACAGGGCTTCTACACATTTGACGATAGAATGCTATGGCTGCTGCTATAATTAATAAATTCCACACAAAAATAAGGGACATGGGATAATGCAGCTCAAATACTTGAAATAGTTCACCAAAATATGGAGACAAATAATGATTTGTCTGAGTATGCTAGGGAAAGCAATCTAAATAGAGCTAGGGCAGGCAGACTTTAGAAATATAAATGTAGACTTTAAAATGTTAGGGAATTTCCTGTTTTAACTTACAGCGACTTAATATTAATTGCTTGTGTCACATACCAATTAAAGCAAGCTTGCTACTATTATGGTGAGCATATAAGATTTAATGGTTGCTACCGGATAGAACTCTGTGATAACCAGAGGAGCAGCATTATGGAAGGAATAAACTTAAGCCCTAGCTGATCTTTACTTAGGGCTAGAATTGCAAGTCATCACCATTAGTCGTAAAGTGTATTTTATATATATTTTAATTAATGGCAATGGTTCTGGTAGAAGTGCAATTAAAAAGTACTGTCGGCCGTCGAACTGTTGGATGCTGTGCCCATGTTATGGCAGTAATATAGATTTGAGTTGGGCACGGCATCAGACTAATATTTTGCTTCCTGCTCAGTTCCTGAATGATGTATTGATGTGTAAATTAGAGGCAAATAATTCCTTCGCTTTCCTAGATGTGTTAGTCATCCAAAATTCTAACAACACCATAGGTCACACTGTGTATAGAAAACAATGAATTTCGCCATTATCCTTCACACTTAGTTACCGTGAGCAAATCTTTTTTACAGAGAGCACAAGGGATCTGTGGCAGCAAACATCGAGCCGTCGAGCTTCAGCACGTCAAGCAGGTTCTGCACGTCAACAAGCTTCAGGCCCGCGCTTACGTCACAGTGACCGAGTGAAGCCGGCCACAGTCAAGCATGTGGAGTACTAGCATTTGTCAGGGGTGTCACAGACAAGATTGGCTACATCTTGAAGCGAGCTGACATGAAGCATCAAGGTTCAGGGAAGTTTGCAGTTTGTGATCATATCCTGGACGGCCCCAACCAGATAGAAGTATAAAAAAGATTTGATAGACCATAAATCCTCTAAAAGGTACATCAAATCCTATCAAGGACCGATATCTGAGACTATTGAAATAAAAAAAATTTTCAATAGAGAAGGAGGCTTGGTACTACCACCTGCTTAAGACCCTGTAATTAATGAAATTAAAATTAAACCCAAGCATACCATTGCAAGACTTCAAGACATAGTAAGTTCATTCTGTAGATCGGACCATAAATAAAAATTAAAAATCTGAAGGTACTCCGGGTTAACACTGACATTGGGACGTCAGTCACCTCAGTTCGCCGTAACCATGGGTGTTGGAAAGCACCCGAAACGTCTGGAATTAAAAATCATAGAAATAAAACGCGATAAAATCGATAAAAATAGTTGTTAAAAAAAACTGCATTTGTGAAAATAAAAACTTATATATCTTCAAAACCCCGACTTTTTTTAAAGCAATTCCTTAACCATTTCATTGTTTTAATTGCATATTATCATATCTATATGCTTTTATATGCGGGCACCTATGGCCGAAGTGTCTATGAAGAGTGGGCAATCCCCTTTCAACTAAGTTTTGCAATAAAGTACTTAGGTATTACTTCTGTATTTAAATTATTACTTAATTCTTTTTGTTATAATTATTTATTTGACAAAAAAATGAAATTAATATACCTTTCATTATCCTTAGGTAAGTTAAAAAATGATATATCTGAATCCTTTTGTTTGCTCATTATGCATCCATCTACGCAACAATTATAGTAGGTTCGAAGTTGTGTACACATATATTATTTTTAAATCACATAAATTTTTTTGAACTATATTATCTTACAATTAAATACTAAACGCTAAAAAATTACAAGTGTTTACAAAAAACTATTTACGTAAACAGCGTTAAAAATACATCAATCGCCTACAACGCGCTAGCCCCGACTGCGTATTTCACGCACCCTTCACCCAAATCGCGATTTTAGGTAATTATTTCACGCAGGTAGCAAGAGTGACAGAGGGCTGGTAACAGTTAGTTCAGTATTTTTTTTCTTCAAGATTTAAACACAACCTAAATAAATACAGTCCACTTAGCTCTCATTCATTTACACAATAGTTTCTTTAAGTTTATTAGTCAGATAGATATCACAATTTTTTAGTTTCTTCTTTCTTCACCAAAGTAAATTATAATTAATAATTAGTCAAATACAGTCCACTTAGCTCTCCATCAACTACAATACATACCAATGATAATCGTTAATAGCAGTGTTCCCTTTCAGGCTTACTTCACGTACTAATTTCTAATTTTATAGCTAGTTGTGGGGTAAATTTTTCCTCACACTTGTAACCCTAAATATAGTGACGTAACTGACGTATTTTTTTGTCTCTTTCTGCGACACGCTATGGCGGTGTCTATAGGATCACAGAGTACCTTTGTATAGGATTCTCTGTCTACGGTAGAAGCACACGCACAGTGTAGAAGCTCCATATTCTCTAGTAGCGGTGGGTAGTAGCGGCTTCTTTGAGTAACGAAACGAATCTATCTATCGAATATCAATAGCGGCTTTTGAAACACTCTATTTTAATAGAGGGTTTGGAAACATTCTATTTTAATAGCGGCTTCAATAGAGTGTTTCACGACGTGTTCAATTGCAAAACGTTGCGACCGTTGTTACCGTTTCGTATAGAATTAGACATGGTGTTAATGGTTAAATTTATTTATTTGTTAAATCAGTTCGCACGGTTTGATAAAAATATCACTTCGAAGTACACTGGCATTACTTCGAGACATTTTTGATAACAATCACATAAAGTTTTAGTATTATTTTTACACTTAGTTATTTACACTAATTACTGTAGAATTATTATTATCAACACTAATATATACAATGATATTTAGTTTTTATTTTACTAAAAATATTATTATTGTTGCACAAAAAAGGAAACAAACGCGCCTAAAAAGTAAAAACAAACCGTGTCATTAAACTTAAACAAAAGACTAATGTAAACCGGGCCAAGGCCACTTAAATTATGGTATTTGAACTATTTTTTGTTAAAAACATGTACACTTACTTTCTCATTTCTAATATCGCATCTATACGAAGGAAATAGAGTCATAGGTCAAATGCAAAAGCACACGCGCTCACTCGACTTTCGACAACCGGTGGTACTTCTACCACAGCGTAAAAAGTCGGTTTTTTTACTCATGTGCTTCTACTTCAACAGCCGAAGACGTCGCCGACGCGTCGCGAAAATAGCCGAATAAACGTTTTGTTAGTGATCGCTCGTTCGTGATTCGTGAAACGTGAATCGTGTTACTGAGTAAAACGTCTACTGTAATAGATAGTTTCGTTGCACTGCAATAACCCGCTACTCGCTATTGTGTGAATAGATAGTTTCAGTAACTAGTTACGTTTCGTAACGACCACTCCTATTCTCTAGTATATATACAGTAATCTATGCTCCATATATAAATATTCATAAAGTAATGTACATAGTTTTGCTTTGGTATTTAATTGGTTCCTAATCCGAAAAATGTCTGTAAAGTGGACTGGTATTCACAGTGAGTCAGGTATTTTACGAAAAAGTGAGTTTAAAGAGAAGAAAGAAGAGTTATTCGTGTTCGGCTACTCGTGCAAATTGTTCAGGGACGATGATAAAGCCCTGCACATTGATCAAGGCAAACACCTCATACCATGGATGGGGGACGAATCCTTGAAAATCGACAGGTTCGATACGTTTTTTACTATAAGACTGTTAATGTGGCGCTAAAGAGTAAAAAGCGATTGTCAATTATCAAAAACTATTAAATTTTTTGGAAGACCGTAAGATTTTCGCAGAGGATGACAAATCGTGTCGCATCGCGAGAAGGTGAGCTACAGGCTTGGGCTGCTGCAGCGTCGCATATTGTTATGGTGAAGGACGCCGGTGGTATGTATTACATATAACGGTACACTTGCGTATGTATTTGACTGTGATTTTGAATTTGGTGCGATTTTTTGAAGGTTTAGTAACACGTTCGCTACGCTTTATTTTGTTACGGTAGGTCATTATCAGTTAGGCTTAGTCATACTCCATAACTTAGTACACCTTTTGTTTTTTATGTAACCATTGAATTTTATATATTCCATGCATAGCGGACATGTTCTATTAAAATGTGCTGTTTGTTTGGACAAGTCTTATAATAATCAAATTATTGAAACAGAAACAGAAACTTTTTTATTCAATATAGATTATAAATAATACTTATTGAGTGTAACATTTTTTAATTTACATTCTTAATCTTGTAGTATGTTCCTAAAATTTGTAAACGTAATATTAGCAAAAACCCAGCTCTGTGGGATGATGCTAAGGGTATGTTCCGAAATACAACGCAGTGTACTGTCCAATGCAAATGACATCATGAATTGTCGCTATACTGGTGAATCGTTCCAAAACATTGGACAGTATATGACATCATACTTTTGCGCTATTTAGAAAAGTGTTGGCGATTATTTTGTCATTTTGTGCTCCAAAAATCATTATATCCTCCTAATGGATATACCATCAATTATTCTATAATTTTTTGTATTTGAATAAATAGAAACAAATTCTGGCATGCTTCATTCGGCAAACACACAATTAAAAATTGTTTTATTATGGCCGGATATCCGACACAATATGGCGGCGGCACGCTAGTACAATAAAGTGTCAAACTGTCAAATGATGATGTCATTTGCATTGGACAGTACACTGCGTTGTATTTCGGAACATACCCTAGAATTTATTTTATTATAGGTACAAAGTGTATATATTTTGAAGTGTGGAATCAGAATAAATGCTATAGGAAAGATATACCTAAATAAAACTGTATTTTATGTAAATTTGCACAGCAGTATGACTATGTGGTCTGTTACTTTAGTGTCAGTGCGACCTGCATTACCACTTACCAAAAGGTGGGATTGTACTCAAGAACTGGCTTATAATGCAATTTACAAAAAGTAATGTATCCTGACCTACCCAAAGAAAAATTAAGCAGTATAATGTTAATAATTTCATTGTTAGTTTATAAATTATTTTTTTTATAGGATAGGGTGACAAACGAGCATACAGTCGGTCACAATCCACCTGACGGTAAGTGGTTGCTGTGGCCCATAGACATCTACATCTATCCTCGATTATGAATCAAAATGCAGATGGGTTGTCACCCGTGAGGACTAAGATGGAATGCCTCATTTCCAGTAAAAAGGTTCTACGGTTCTCTACACTCAATATACGAAATACAACAGCATTAAGCTACTATTTCACGCTGGTATTCAGTGAGAGCGTGGTCCTTCCCCGGTCGAGCCGACCCATTCATGCTACAACTATATGTCTAATATAACTGCAGCATGGCTCTACCACATATAAATAATTATGGTACTTAATTATGAATTAAGATAGTTACAGATATTTGACCTTGTTGTCTATCAGCTGTGGTCTGTTAAGGTGATATATACACTGGTGCAATGGGGTTATAAAGTGTATATTTTAGTGTATTTTATTATAGTTTTTTAATCATACAGACATAAAAAAATTACAATCAAATTTCTCAATAAACAAATATGTGTTATGTTAGGATGATGATTTAGGGAAAGATGTTATTATTGATAGAAATTCCTTGCAGTTTAGATCTCTGTTGTGAGACATACAATAATTGTATCTACAGATATGATGCGCGAGGTGCTTTACATGATCTGACCTCGCTGGAGGCACCACCTGGCGGCTATGATTGGCGTGTGGAGCTCACCAAGAACGAGTTGGATGTGGAACAGCTTTGTGATGAAGAGAGATATCGGGCCCTTCATACTAATGAGGATGAAGAGGAAATGTATAAAGGTAAATGATGATTGCTCACCGCTAGGTGGTAAGACTACAATATTGGAGTCCATTTAGTGTCTGGGTTGTTGGCACCCAGTGATTGCACTGCTTTGTTCTACTATGAAGTGTACAGAGAGCTAGTGTAATTTTAGGTTGTGTGGCATTCCATTTTAGTCCTCAGAGGTGATAATGCCCCTGTAGCCTTGTTTGATTGCAGTAGACATAATCATGTGAAGTTCATTTGTCACTTCAGCTTTATTTTTTAAAAAAATCTTGAAATTCTTTCGGCCTCATAACATACCTGAATGGAGTGACCTTCATAATTGACAGTATAATTTTTACTGAGATTGGTTGATCAGGGATTTTCTAGTGATGCCACTCACATGAGGTTCTTTAGAATAATGTGGTCTCTCCACATCAAATACAGTTTTATTTACTATAATTGATTGTTTTCAAAGGCCTTTAAGCCAGGGCATAGGCATGCAAGCACAGAGTAGCTAGTTGCATTGTATTATATAGGATAGTTTTTAGTGTTCCTTCCACACTTCTCCATAGGACAGCTAGGCTCTCAGAGAATCTCTTTGTAGTTGACATACTATGCAAGGATCTCCTAGATGTGAGTTGTTTGTGGTTAGCATTGGCTACATACAACCGCCGGTACGACATACTCTGCCGATCGTTGAGTCCGCTGATTCCGTGAGGCGTCGAGGTCACCGGCCCCTAGGCAGATTTAACAGTGCCTAGTCGCGTTTTGAGTGCCACTATTTGCACTTCCCCCAACCCTTTCATTAGGAAAGGGGTAGGCAGTGTCCCATTGCCTATACCAACATCGTATATCACCCCTACCATCGCGTCGCGCATCTCAGCCTGTCGTCGTTGGTAACACTGATAGGGCCCATAAGAGTATGTTCGAACACTACATATTAGGTAGGTTATAGCGACATGTCGGACAAGGGGGACCCGCCTCCTCCACGGTCCAGAAAACCACCAGACAGGAAAGGAATACTGGATCGACCTTTGTTAGTTAGGGATCTAGCGAACCTGGAACGCTCTAAAGTAGTGTCGTCCTTCTCACAGATCCCTACTAGGAAGCTCGTCTCGCCGCGGAAGGATCCCGCACCGGGCGTCGCGCTCACGCCGGCCGTGTTTGAGCACACGGTTAGGCAGGAACCGTCGCCTCAGCTGCAGCGGGCGAAGAAAACGGCCAGACGCCATACGCCACCCGAGACCGAAGCCTCTTTATTCGAAAAGAGGCAATGAATCGGCTCCAATTTGTCATCTTCTGATGTACCAACATCTTCATCGGAAGATGAAGATCACCACCAAGCGACAACGAAGAGGGTGCACAAGTCACCGCCGAAGTCGCCTTCACCACCACAACCTCCCCGCTCTATGTCACCGGCCTGGCGTAGCCACGACTTGGCCCCGAATGGAAGTGAATGGAGTGAACTTTATGAAGATGTGGAGAGATTTAACTACGACGTTTTAGGTCCCGAAGAACCTACACACGTTCCGACAGATACACGGAAACGTCCGCATGCATTGGACATTGTGCTCTCTAGGAACGTCAACTACCCGATAATGGTAAAGGTGCTGTACGACCTGAACTCACAGCATCTCCGGAGGACTGCGGAGGACAGTAACCCGCCTGCGACCGAGGAAGGTGCCGGGGCACGATGGGATTACCAACGCTGCACTCCGACAGCTGCCCAATAGAGTCCTGGTAGAGCTTGGTCGACAATACAATGGGATATTGCGGACATCCCACTTCCCGGAGGACTGGAAGAAAGGCAGATTCATCGTCTTGCCGAAACCCGGGAAGGACAGGCGTAGAGCTGCCAGCTACAGGCCGATCACGCTATTACCGCACATAGCTAAACTGCTAGAAAGATTGCTGCTGAGACGTTTCCGTCCGTGCATCCAACTTCTGGCGGAACAACACAGATTCAGGAGGGGTCACTCTACAGTCACACAGTAGAGTGCTGCACCTGCTTGCGGCAGAGTACAGCCGTGGCCGCATATCGTTGGGCGTCTTTCTCGACATTGAGAAGGCGTTCGACAGGGTGTGGCACTCAGGATTGCTTTACAAACTGCATGAACAGACCAGTGTCCCTCTTGCTATGTTGCGGCTAGTGGCGTCTTTCCTGGAAGACAGGAAGTTCTACGTCTGCGTAGAGGACGCCGAGTCCGCAACAAGATCCATCAGAGCCGGCGTTCCACAGGGCAGCTGTTTGTCTCCAGTCCTGTACGCGGCTTACACTAACGACATCCCAACACTGGCAGGTAGGCTGCAAGAGTGGGAGGACGACGTAGAGCTGGCGCTATATGCGGACGATAGCGCCTATTTCACCTCGTCCAGAAGAGGCCATATAGCCACTGCCAGAATGCAGCGTCTGCTGGACCTGTTGCCACCATGGCTGGACGAGTGGAGGATGGTCGTCAACGTTGGTAAGACGACCGATCTGCTCACTCGCCGTCTCAGAAATCTACCACCTCCGCTGATCCTCAATGGTCAGAAGATCGCGTACGTGAAGGCCGTGACCTATCTTGGATGCCGGATTGACAGGACGCTGCGCATGACCGCGCACGTCGACTTCGTCGTCCGTGGAGCCAGATGTGCGCGGGCGACACTCTTACCAGTCCTGGCATCCAAGTTACCAACTAAGACCAAGCTGAAACTGTACAAAATGTACATATGTACCATTATTACCTACGCTGCTCCGGCCTGGTACGCGCATCTGAGCGACCCTCTGAGGCGGCGACTGCAGGCCCAGCAGAACTTGACATTAAGGAAGATCGTCGGAGCAGGTCGCTACGTCCGGAATGACGTCATAGCGGCCGATCTGAAAGTCGAGACGATCACAGACAGCCAGACAGCCCGGCTGGCGCGCGGCATGTTTGACCGCGCCGACAACGGGCCACACGAACACCTCAACGGCTTCGCGCCGTTGCACACACGGCCCCCGGACGGGCGACCTAATCCAAGAGAACTCCTCTCTATATCGATTAGAGAGTCAAGTAACAACCCACAATGCCGCTCATAGGCCAACTCTGACTTTTACCGGACAACCTCCTTTTTTTTCGTAGTTAACCGACTACGGAAAAAATAATTCTCTGCGGATTAATCCGCCGTGATTAACTATGCCTAAAAAAGGCTCCCAGGACTGGCCCATAGTCGTGGGCCATGAGGAAGATCCGGGCAGTGGGGGCATACCACGAGGCCCGAGACCTGCATGGCATATACATGTCATGTAGACGACAACTCACGCACATACCATGCAATCAAATAAAATGACTTTCTTGTGCACTTGTTATGTATGGTAAGGGAGTCTTTGCATTCAATGAATAGGCTTTTCTCAAGCTAAGCTAGCGAACACTTTATCTTCAATGGCTGGTACCACTTACTATCAGGTGGCTTGGTAGTCAGCCGCTGGCTTTTAGTAGATAAAATATAATATTTATGTAATAAATTCTTAATAATAGATGCTGTCTAAATTAAAATATTTACTAACTTTTATTATTATTATTATTTTAGAAGAAGAGTTGAAACGTCTGCATGCGGCTGGCTATGGGCAGGTGGGGTTCAACTATGAGATGCCGGCTGAGACTGAGACACTGCCAAATCCTCCGCCGCAGGAAGTGGATGAACCCTTCTTACCCACACCAGCTTTCAAGGCACTGCTTTCACATGATGTAATAATTGTAAGTAATTTTTTTTTACATATAGACTATGGGTGTTACACATGCACACAGTCCACACGATAGTAAGTGGCTGCTGTTGCACATAAACATTTTTTTACTTATAGACTATGTGTGTTAAACATGCACACAGTCCACACGATAGTAAGTGGCTGCTGTTGCACATAAACATTTTTTTTACTTATAGACTATGGGCGTTAAACATGCACACAGTCCACATGATAGTAAGTGGCTGCTGTTGCACATAAACATTTTTTTACTTATAGACTATGTGTGTTAAACATGCACACAGTCCACATGATAGTAAGTGGCTACTGTTGCACATAAACATTTTTTTACTTATAGACTATGTGTGTTAAACATGCACACAGTCCACACGATAGTAAGTGGCTGCTGTTGCACATAAACATTTTTTTACTTATAGACTATGTGTGTTAAACATGCACACAGTCCACACGATAGTAAGTGGCTGCTGTTGCACATAAACATTTTTTTACTTATAGACTATGGGTGTTAAACATGCACACAGTCCACACGATAGTAAGTGGCTGCTGTTGCACATAAACATTTTTTTACTTATAGACTATGGGTGTTAAACATGCACACAGTCCACACGATAGTAAGTGGCTGCTGTTGCACATAAACATTTTTTTACTTATAGACTATGGGTGTTAAACATGCACACAGTCCACACGATAGTAAGTGGCTGCTGTTGCACATAAACATTTTTTTACTTATAGACTATGGGCGTTAAACATGCACACAGTCCACACGATAGTAAGTGGCTGCTGTTGCACATAAACATTTTTTTACTTATAGACTATGTGTGTTAAACATGCACACAGTCCACACGATAGTAAGTGGCTGCTGTTGCACATAAACATTTTTTTACTTATAGACTATGGGTGTTAAACATGCACACAGTCCACATGATAGTAAGTGGCTACTGTTGCACATAAACATTTTTTTACTTATAGACTATGGGTGTTAAACATGCACACAGTCCACATGATAGTAAGTGGCTGCTGTTGCACATAAACATTTTTTTACATATAGACTATGTGTGTTAAACATGCACACAGTCCACACGATAGTAAGTGGCTGCTGTTGCACATAAACATTTTTTTACTTATAGACTATGTGTGTTAAACATGCACACAGTCCACACGATAGTAAGTGGCTGCTGTTGCACATAAACATTTTTTTACTTATAGACTATGTGTGTTAAACATGCACACAGTCCACACGATAGTAAGTGGCTGCTGTTGCACATAAACATTTTTTTACTTATAGACTATGGGTGTTAAACATGCACACAGTCCACACGATAGTAAGTGGCTGCTGTTGCACATAAACATTTTTTTACTTATAGACTATGGGTGTTAAACATGCACACAGTCCACATGATAGTAAGTGGTTGCTGTTGCACATAAACATTTTTTTACTTATAGACTATGGGTGTTAAACATGCACACAGTCCACACGATAGTAAGTGGTTGCTGTTGCACATAAACATTTTTTTACTTATAGACTATGGGTGTTAAACATGCACACAGTCCACACGATAGTAAGTGGTTGCTGTTGCACATAAACATTTTTTTACTTATAGACTATGTGTGTTAAACATGCACACAGTCCACACGATAGTAAGTGGCTGCTGTTGCACATAAACATTTTTTTCTATTCAAAATGCATATGCGTTGTCACCCACTGGGAACAAGATGGGAATGCCTTGTTTCTTGTTTCCAGTGAAAAGTGTTTCCGGTTCTCTACACTCAGCAAATGAAACAGCAACATTAATCTGCTATTTTATACTGGTATTCTGTGTGAGTGAGGTAGTTCCCTGGTTTAACCGACACATTTGTGCTACAATCATAATACAGTTGCAGTATGTCGCTACCATATTATATAATAATATTTGAAATGTATTTTACATTATGTGAAAAATTCGAATTTTAGAATAGAACAAAATTTTTTGATAAACACCAGCATATAGCTTGTAAACTGCAACTGCCATTGTTATTTTACACACCAAACACAGCATATGTGTACAGTCATAACTATGGATATACACATACTTTTATGTTATTGCTTATTTAATTAACTCTTTTAAGTAGTATGAGATTTATCACACTCACTTGAAGGGGCTGGAAGAAGATCATCAAATCCTCCCCGATGTACGATGGACTGTTAACATTTTCACCACATCAAAACAAAATGAATGATGAAAGGGAATTTTGAGTTAGCAATTTGCTATTGCATTTCCAATACATTTCAATTCTTTAATTTCATTAAAGATTTTAATAATTTTCCTAAAAAAAAATTTATGGCCTAAAGACTTGGATATACCTGGGGACAAAAGGAGCGGTGCGCGAATGTTGCGCAGCGTGTCGCTTAACAACTACGTGGAATGTCCCGAGACACGTCGTGGAACATTTTGCAGGCCACACTAGTCAGTGTTTATAGAAATGGCGCCCGAGGAGGTTGCGGCAATTAGTGCTGCGTACATAGTACTTACTTCGGGAGTGAAACGTAAGTAAAGGAGAGGGTGGTGGATGCGGAATTGATTACTACAATGAGAAGAAAGGAAAATTAATATTTAAGTGATTTCCGAATGTTTGATGGATCTTCTGTAAATTTTACTTGAATGTCAACATTTGATTTTGAAACTTTACAAATAATCGGATCATCCATAGCCAAACAGGATACAATACTACGGAATGCTGTTGGTCCTCATTTCAGACTTGCCATTGCATTAACAAAATAGCGCGAAATTGACGCGAGACACGTGCGCTCACTTTCGGAGCGGGAACATGCAACATGTCCCGCGTCACGTAAAATGTTGCGGGTCATGTTGTGGGTCACTGTGCAATGTTGCATCGTCACGTAGATTGAGTGTTCCGCGTCATGTTACAGGACAAAATGTCCCCTAGTGTAGCCGAGGCTTAATGTCTCATGGATGGGATGTATATAGGCTGCAAAAGTATGAAGTTCACCACCATGCACAAGAGCAGTGAGGCGCACTCTCTCTCGCTCTCATGTAATTAAAAATACCATGAAATTCTAATGTTTTGAAAATTGATTAACGAGAAGAATTATTTAAATATTTCATTTGATTTGTTACAGCCAGAATCACAGAAGCAAAATGCAATTATTGAGAAGACAGCAAAGTTTATTGCATCGCAAGGCGCCCAGATGGAGATACTTATCAAAGCGAAGCAAGGGGACAATCCACAATTCCAGTTCCTGAATAAAGACTCCACACTGCATGCTTACTACACAGCACTCATTGGCTTAGTTAAGAGTGGCAAGTGGCCTGAAAAAAAACCTGATATTGTAGAAGGTAAGAGTAAAATAGTGTCTCATGTCAATGAATAAATTGCAGCGTATAAAAGTCCACAGCTGACCATTAGCCCCCCCCCCCCATAGATGGCCTCATAGGAGGGAATTTAGCTTAGTTGCCACGTTTGGTGGGCAGGTTGGCAACTGCAGTTTTTTATTATTTTAAGTTGTTATCAGAAAGATGGTGCTGTGCATTTTCTGTTTCAGTTACCCTTTGTCGCCAATGATGAGCATGTCTAATGTGATTTTTGCAATTTTAGAGGTGTTTTGAAATAAATATTGAATACACACTTTTTCACAGTTAAACGCTCCAAATAGCTCTAATGTCTCTGCCATACTATGTTCCTCGCGCTGCTCATGGCTCTGCTCCTTGCGCTGCCGCAATGTTGTCGAACGCGTTTGCAACATAATGGATGTTGAAACTGTGGCAGCACGCATGCTGTGCATATTTATTATAGCTAAATATATAAAAGTTACAGCCTATATACGTCCCACTGCTGGGCACAGGCCTCCCCTCATTTCTGAGAGGGTTTTAGGGCAAGGAAGTGTCCGCCGCGCTGCCCCAATGCGTGTTGGCGAACTTCACATATCTTCGAAATATTTTTTTTTCTTATTCCTCAGACTTGCAGGTTTCCCCACGATGTTTTCCTTCACCGCCGTGCATGTGGTAAATCAGCACTTAAAATTGCAATTAACAATTTCATTGGCGCCGGCGGGGATCGAACCCGGGTTACTCGCGTTCTGTTATATTTACAGCGAGCGTTAACCATCTGAGCTACCACAGCTCTTTGCTAAATATATATCAATGTCATAAAAAGAAATATACATTGTCGTCCTCGAGATAGCTTTTTCTCTGTATATTCTTTACTCATGTGATAATATGGCTGAACAATGATGATAGGTACACTATTTATGATTTTTAAATGACACATGACATGCTTTCGTAACAAGCTCTCGACTCCAGGCTGCCACTCGCGCTTGTATTGCCAATCATTCAACTCGCACCCACACAGACTGACAATACAGGGAGCGATGGTCATGATGAGTATTATGGCCATCTTCCCATGCCATTTGAAGAGTGTGAAGAAATTACAACCCATGGAGATGAAAGGTTTTAGAGTGGCAGCCCTTATTGGCAATCGCTGTATTGGGTGACTTCCCAATAGATGTAGTGACGACTTGATGAAACACGCAGTGAGGTTATTGATGCAGGTGGCTCAAGACCATTGGGGGAGACCTACTTGCAGTAGTAAACTTATGAAGAATTTTCTTTGTGGCTGTTGTGAAATATTCTAAAATGTCTTTTCATCTTCACCAACCTGTAAATAGTTCACTGTTTAGTATATCTCCCATTTTAGGGAGGATTTGTTACTAACACCACATCCAACCAGCAGATTGACAATCAGACTTGCTTCTTTAACCATTTCACTGTCCCGTGATATAGGTCGGAGCGGAAACCTCGAGGTTGTTTTTATGGTGAGGCAGCACCACTGTCCCCATTTGACAAGGGTTCAGTCGTGCTACCGTATATTGTTTCCATTGTAATGAAAGAGATCTAAGATCACACACTTTTAATTTTATACCACCATAACTTTATTCTACACTTCTTTTTATAAATACTCACAAATAATAAAAAAAGGTTTAAGATCATACACTTTTACTTTTATACCACAATAACTTTATTCTATACATATTTTTATAAAAACTCACAAATAATAATCACAATGCTGTACCAGGAAAATAGAACTACACCAACGAGCGCAGGAACTGAAGTGAGTCTATTCCCGGTTCCCGCGTTCATACAATAAGTAAAACGTAATAACGACTTAGGTGTGCTCTGATTGGTCGACGATTTGATTGGTCAATACTTCACTAAACAATAACTTTTTATTGAATTCATTAGGTTACTTAAGTAATTTCTTCAATTTTGTCAAGATTCTATTGATCCCTTGGTTCATTCTTTGATAAGATTCCACTTAAGTATAAATATTTTTATTATTTTTTCCAGAGAAACAACCTGAATTATCTGATGAATATCTACATCCAAGCTTAGCATCAACAGTGATTGAAGCTGTAAGTAATATTTATTTAAAAAAAAAACAAATTAACATTTTTCTTAAAAAAATCAATCTTTATCAAAAATTATCAATGTTATAATGGAGAATCTGTGCAAAATGTCAACTATCTAAGTTCTTGGTGTTGACAACAGTGTCACCTATTTGGTCTATTGGGTGCAATTGTAAATCTAAACCATGCAGGGACCAATTCAAATACACACAAAAGTTTCATCAAAATCGGTATAACTGTTTAGCAGTTCAGTGATTAACACACTGTTGTGATGTAATATCATTGTAATTGGAGTTGTAGAGTAGTTGACAGTAATTGGAGTTTGCCGACGTATGCATCAACGACCGGTCGTGTCACGCGCAATTATCGAGCGCATTGTAATTTCGCAATGTCGTCTAAAGTGGGGAAATGTTCTAACTGCAACATAGTAATCAACAAAGTGTTAGCTTTTATTTGTAATAAAGTGGATGTGATGGACGAAGTTAGCATTGCACAAATATGTACTAGTGCTTTTTCGGAAGGTGGTATTGTGAACGATAACAATCTGTTATTCGATTCTTTAACAACTTCAAGGCGAAGCAAAATCAGGAAGAGGCAAGGAAAGACACGGCGAGATATAGAAGATATCAAAGAGACGGATCCCAAAGAATTCCATGTTTTTGTCGCGCGGGAATTGCACAAATTACCCCCGGTTTTATTTGACCACATCAATGTAATACGGCTCCTCAAAGATATCGTAAGAATTCAAGCTGAATTAAAAGTGACCAAAAAACAATATGTGTGTAAAAGTGATCAGAAAACATCGGTTATAAACCATTTCACCGGCAAAGTAAATACTAGACGAGGTGTTGGCTTATTAAATAGTTTTGCCTATGATAGTGGATCTATGGGGTTACATCCCTTACAGGATGCTAACACTACTTCCCCTGTGCATCAATCACCCCCTCAGCAATTACTGGAATATCGGCCGATAGTAGACACAGATAATTTATTGGAGGGTATGAATACGCAAGAATCAGCGTTTTAAAAATTAGCGGTTGGTGAATTAGCTGGGCGAGAACGACCTAGCAAGCAAGTGAGCGCCGCAGAGACGATGAGTCACGCGCAGCCGTGCGCGGTGCAAGCGAGCGGCGAACACGGCCTCGAAGCTCTGCGATTGTACTGCAGTACCTACACAACGATCGTTAGCCGATATTGATAAAAAATGGCTAACAGTGCAACGTAAAAGACTTAAAAACCGCTTTGTAGTAAATATATGAAAAGCTACTACATAACCAAGTCAAAAGTTTAAGAGTAGCGGTTGTCAATACTCCTATTTTTATTTATAACATTTCGGAGGTGTTTGTGTGTGACATAATGAATTACATTGAGAATAAAGTAAACATAAAGGTAACTGGAAGAAATGAAATGGTTATAAAGGTATCGAAAAGTTATAATGCATACAAGATCTACGTGCGCCTAACTATGAAGTAGATATATTTTGTTATATCAACTTTGGTGAAGAAAGGCTTAGAAATCGTGGGTCTGTCGGGGATTAATATCTATATATATTGCAAGAATGTTATTAGATCATTAGACTTTGTGAGAAGAATATGTCGCACAGCGGACGTGGTGGCATTGCAGGAGACATGGCTCCTGCCTCATGATATTTCGTTCCTGGGATTTATAGATGATGATTTCGGCTATACAGGTGATACATTTTTTGTATTCAGACTTTATGTATGGTACCCGCAGGCGCCGTCGATCCCGAGCATCGCGTACCGTCCGTCCGCGGACTGCGACTACACGCTGCTGGTGTCGCGGCTGCGTGGCTCACCGCCGCCGGGAGACGCGCCGCCGCCCGCCCCCGCCGCGCGCCCCACGCCCGCCGGCACGCCGCCGCCGCCCGGCACCGCGCCGCTGCCGCCCCGCGCGCCGCCCGCCCCAGTCGCGCCGCCCGCCCACCGCCCGGACATCGCTCGTGCGCCCGTCATGTACACACAACGTACGTATCGCGTGTGCACGCAACCCTTACCAACTATACTGCGTTCCATCGTTTCTTTTATTTACATCAATACTACACATTGAATGACAACTAATTATACTAATTTTATTACAAGCTTATTTTTATTCTTCATCAGTCCATAAGTCTAATTCTGGAATGTGGGCACACTAACTGTTGAGTAGGTGTTTTGAATAAATTATTTATTCATACTTCAATAAATATTTTATTAATAAATAATGACAAATATTTTTTATTGACATACTAATTTAACAAATATATGCAATAACAGTAAGCTGAACAATGTTCAAGAACAAATATACAAATGTTTTCTGTTGAACCCCAAACTAAGGTAAACCTTTATGTTGAGGTCCAAATCCAAAAAGCTGTATATATCGGTACTGCTTAAAATAAAATAACTAAAATTACTCCAAAATTAAATTCAAACCCAAGCTTAGCACAACAAGAATTTTAAATGATGCAGAATCGTTTTACATAAGTCCAAAAATTAATATTTAAAACCGAAAATAAGTTAGATCAACTATAAATATAGTAACAGGTGAACCGAGTAGAAGCCTACGACATTGATATTTTACTTTTTTTTTTAATTCATTAACATATTATGTAATTTAAGTATCAATAAATACTACTAATTTGAGGTAAAGTTTCCGTTCTAAAAGGATCAAAACAAAAAATTTGAACTAAATAAATCAATTAAAAACTATTGAATTTCAAATCATACGCTCTAATCACTTAACTAGCGGCAATAAAACAATGAATTTATAACACACTCGCCACACTCTTAGTCCTTTGAAACGTAACGGTGCGACGAGTCGATATTTACTCGTGTTGGAGTTTCAGTGGACAGGTCGCGGATGACCTGTGAACTGACCGGTGAGATCACCACACCGAAAACCTCTAGACTTCTATTTGCGGGCGAACTAAAATGATTAGTGTACACAGAAGAAGCACAAAATGTTAGTGAAAGTTTAATAAATAATGTACAAAGATGTGCTAGTTTGTGTTTAGAAAGAATCGGTGGACATTTTGAGCAATTACTGCAATATCGCTAAAAAGGTAATTTTTTTGTAAACAACAATAATGAAGTATAATTTTGTAAATATCAATCATATAGTTTGTAAATAAGTTGATTTCGATCTTTTAAATACGCTTTAGACGTTGCAGTATACCATAAGCATAATAATTATTATTAGAAACTGTTTATGAATTTATTATAATGCAAGCTAAAATTTAAAAAGCGTTTCGTTTCCGGCGGGAGCGAGGGGTTTAGGCTTCATTTGGCACGAATGTGTCGCAGTCCAATAAGAAATAAGACGTATTAATAAACGCCTCGCCGTAATGCACATCATGTAATGTATCAGCTTTTTGCGTACTGCAATGCGGCTGATAATGCTGAATTTTAAGTGTCTGCATTACAAAACCAATGAATGCAGTGAGTTGTCTTTAATATCACTTTTGCATTGTGGCTAGAAATTTGTAAAGAAAGTGGACTTAACTAGTCGTTCTGTAATCAGGCTGGTCATTGACATAGACATTTTAGTCAACAGATCATAACAACATTCTAGCTGAACGACAGTAATCTACATTCGTAAATGGCGCCGTATCCAAAAACACTTACCGCTGCAAGCATTACGAAGGCAAGTATTGTAGCTGGGTCTTTTGAATACGCCTTATTCTAAATGTTGGTTGCAACGATGTGTCGCATGCTCGCACGCGGCCGCCTGGTGCCCACATAACGACTGTTGCTTTCCTTTTTATTTTATATTATATATATATATATATTTATATTATTTTTTTTGCATTTTAAATGCAAATGTTTAAAAAGTCGTTTATCATCAATTAATAAACTAATAAACTTTAAATAAAGTATAATATTTTCCGTAAAACTACCTTTTTAAATTAATATTATGAATCCAGAATCTTCTGTTCTTCAAATTTTATTTTCTTCTTCGTCTGCCAATAAGCAGGCTATTACAACTATTCTTTCCATAGCGATCCAAGCGATGAATGTCAATGTACCGTTTCACACTAATGGGTGGAAAAGAACTGTAAAAGTTGTTGGAAACAGAAAAGAAATGCGTACGGCGTGTACGTGCAAATGTGCGAGGACATCCGCAAAATGCGGCGCGTACGGCGCACTCGACGCGTACAAATGTTGCGTGTCCTTTAGCCTATTATATATTATAAACCTTTAGATACGGTAACATTCTCAAGAAATGTTTTTAAATCCTATGAAGTGAAGTGTTGACCGTATGCTTCACTGTTTGTTATCTGTTGTCTCTAGTAATCAGTAATTTATAATTCTTATAAACAATAAACTGTACAAAAACTTATTTAATAAGTTTATTAAAAAATAAAATAAACAATAAGTAACCTACTAATATAGTAATTATAATTAAAATAGTCAAAGTATAATCATGGTTAAAGATAATTTCTTTTTTTGTATTAAAGGTGAAGAACTATTTTAATCACATGTTAATTTCATTTCACATTATACTAGTTGAACGAACTTAGGTTTAAATTAAGTCAGTCATTATTTTCTTATAAATCAACTGTCGAGGTTCTCTTAATATACAATAGACCCTCCTTGTATATTATAATATTCTCCAATAATACTGTAGTAAAAAAAAAATATTTCTTTCAGCTCCGACTACAGAAGCAATACAACAAGCACAATACAATCAATACGCAGCGTACTACCAGCAGTGTATGTCTGCACAGACGACCGCGCCGGTGCCAACACAGAAGCCGGCTGCGAAGGAGTCTCCTGTCATCTCTCCTACCAAATCCACGGGCCTCAGTTTAATGAAGAACTACAATTCCGACACTGATAGTGACTCTGGTACTTTTCATTTCCATAAGTATTTATTAATTATCTGAATTTCTATTAGTATTGCTATTTAAAAAATGTATATTAGCTGAGATTCATAGTTTGTAAAGGATAAACAGAAACGATCCTGGTGTGGTAGCCATGAACAATGGTCCTCCTATGATGTTATCATTAGTGCTCATGTTCAGCAGGGGACTTGAAAAAATTAAATTTTTTTACAGATTCTGACGTAAGCTCTTCCAATGATAGTAAAGAAAAATCAAATGTGTTAAAGCCGCCCGAGGAAGTCCAACTTGTGATTGACAAGATGGCAGCATATGTCGCTCGCAATGGCGACGAGTTCGCAGAAATTGTTCGGGCCAAAAATGACCCACGGTTCACCTTCCTCGAACCTGATAATGTATATCATGCATATTATAAGAAATTAATGCAAGAGAAGCGGGGGATTAATGTAAATGGTACTGAAAAACTGAAAAGTAATGGTAAGTGGGTCATATTTTTAAAAGAATATGAATGTTTGACATTGTTTTAAAAATAAAATAGTTAACAATAATATATGTTGCACAATTAACATCGTGGTAAAGATTGCTTTAATATAATGTCTTCCAAATCGAATTTCGGCCACTTGCCCATCTCAAAGGAGTAGCCATTTGCGCAGAATGGAATTACAGTGCCCAAATCTATTTGCAAGCACAGGTGCACTCAATTCCCTCACTCATAGTCCAATGGGTCGGTTATCCGACACAACCAGAGTGAGGTCAGGCACAAAACTAATGGCTTTATTAAGACAGTAGCTGAATGCTAGATTTGAGTTCACCACTTTTTAGTTTTGCTGTCTGTATCCTTAAAAATTAGGGCTCTGTTGTGTGTTACTCTCTTTTTAAAAGCTTTTTAATTCTTAGTGTAATGCACAATATGGTAAACATTACTTGATAGATAATTTCTAATGCCAAATAATTATAATAAACTATTTTCAATACATTTAAACACCAATGCTAAGAGGCAGTTTTTATGAGAATGTTTGATATATTTATAGAAAATAATTGATAATTTATTAGTATGGACTCATTCAGGCTGAATACTCAATATGCAGTTTGAATTGCAATGAGAACCTTATTGTATTTCAGTATTGTTATTATTAACATTATTTTATTATTATTAAAATATTAATGACCATTGCCATTGTTTTGTTTATAATGATTTTTTTTCAGCTGTGGTATCGTTTTCAATAAAGAAGCATAAAGAGCCAGATCCGATTTTACCAAAGCCAGCTTTGCCTTATGAATCCAGCTCAGAAGATGAATCAGAAAGCGCTAAACAAGATAAACCAGAAGAAACTGAGAGAAAGGACTTGCCTAAAACAAATATACCTGAAGTGCCTTCAATTAACAATATACCACCAGTTGTAGTGTACAAACTGGAAGGCACTCAAGCTAATAACCTTCCTATAGTCAAAGCTATTGAACCAACACCGGTAGTAAAACAAACACAACTTGCACCAGTTGTTGTACCTGAAATAAAAGAGCTACCAAAAATTGTGGAGCAACCGGTAATACAAGAAAACTCAGTAAAACTTAATACACCGACACCAGAAAAAGTTGAGGGAATGATAGAAAAAATTGAAGTGCCATCACAAAAAAAGGAAGTTGTAGTCAAGGTTAAATCAAAACACAGGGAAAGTGCTGATAGCAGAGATAAGAGAAAACATGAACACAAAAGGGAATATAGATCAAAATCAGAAAGCAGAGAATATAGAAGATCAGAAAGGAGGAATGATGAAAGAGAGAAAAAAGAAAAAGACGGTGTTAGAGAGGCAAAGAGAAGAAAACCATTGAAGGAAGAGTTAGATAGTGAAATAATTTCATTAGTAGACAATTCTGATGACTTGATAGACCTTACGGGAGACCAATCAGATTCCAAAGGTATGAGAAAGTTTTGTTTAGACAAATATTTTTTTAACAATGATTCTTTTATGCTACTGTCTATATATGTAAGCGAATATTTAAGTATTACTTAAGCATTTTTTTTAGTAATTTTAAAACCACTACCCAACTGAAAAAAGAAAATCCTGAGGCCTCTGTTTTCCGAGAATAACTACATAATGAAAAATTATTTGCTAAACAGTGTCTTCTAGCATCTTAATATTGTTTACAATATCTAAAATATCTTATTATTGATGCATGCAAAGAATAATTAATTATAATTAACTGGTCTATTTAATTATAGACTGTGGGCATTCTCACTCCTTAATTTGGCCTTGTGATCCAGATGTCAGACTAAACTTAGACAAATTAAGAAAGATAGATGGAGTGCTACGTACATTTCAGACGATATCAAAACTAGTTCATCCTCTTGACATACATATACTCATCTTTCTTCTTTCTGTTTTATTAGTCTTTAAAGTTTATTGTTGGACGCATACTTATGGATTTACGTGGTGGAGTCACGCTGCAAAAATATTATAATTGTAGCACGAATGATTTACGTGGTAGAGTCACACTGCAACATTATTATAGTTGTAGCAGGAATGGGTCGGCTCGATCGGGGTAGGGCCACACTCTCACACTTCTCAGAGAACAACAATGTAAAATAGCAGCTGAATGTTGCTGTGTTTCATATGCTGCTGGAAACGAAGCATTTCATCTTAGTCCTTATAGGTGGCCACCATAGAATACTATAATAAACAATAGAATGGCTGTCAACTTTGGTTTGTACGAGGATTGGCTTCACCAAACTCGATTCGCTGTGTTGACAGACTGAATAAATTTACACATTTTAGACTTTTGATTAATGTTCAAGATCTTCATTAAAAAAATCGTTTAAATTTTAATATATATTTATTTTTAAATAGGGTGCAATTTCTAAATAATTTGCATGCGAAATATGGAAACGATTGTAACATCAAAACACATCTCGAGTTGACATTTATACATGTGAATTGACATGTTAGTGACATTTTAGTAGCTACGCCCTCTCCCCCGTTCTATTTTGTATGTATTATACTTCGACTAGAAAAGAAAGAAAGGACATGGCATAAAGATCGTTAGTTGTAGGAATGTAACGAAATATCGGCGTCTCTTTAGCTTATGTGTATATTCGAATGTAAAAAGGACAACAGTAGTTTTATCATTACCGAATATGGCAATAATTTTTTCTCTGCGGCCGGGCGCCATGTTTTGTCACTGTCAATGACAACTATATCAGTTGTCATTGCGACTTTAGTAAGGGAGTGTGTTATTTTTATATGTTTCTGTCGTGGAATTGGATTATTACGAAATTTCTTATTCTATTCCTCGGGACCTATAAATCGGGATAAAAAGTATCCTATATGTTAATTCAGGTAATAAACTATTTGCGTGCCTAATTATTACATTCAAACTGGTCTGATACTGTTGGCGTGATTGGAGAATGAACAAACATTCAAACTTTTGCATTTATTATAGTTTAATCAGTGTGAGTATTATGACTGAATCTAATTTATTGTCTAACAAACAAACAAAAATTCTTTAATTAGTATTTCTTGTTTAGTAATTCTCGGGAAATAATTGTAACATTAATAATATTATAAGATAGTTACATTATAAAAACAAAAAGAAGACTGCTTAAAACTAATGAACTGAAAACATAGGTATAACTTATAATATATACTTCAGTAATCTCCTTTTAATTTCCTTTATTTGGATACCCCTATTGATGCTTGAGTTAAAAAAAATTAAGGACTTCCAATTTGGCGACAAAAATCCGTCATATTGATTAAAAAAAAAACTATCTAAGAACACACGGGTGTTTGAGACGTATCACACGAAAGAATCTTTTTCTAAATAAGCGCAACATTATCGATATTAAGTATAGTGCGCAGCACTACGTCAAGCCGCCATCTTTGTGCCAGACTCAGTTTAGGTATACACGTTTTTTTCGTATGTATGTCATGTCGTTTCTTTCTTCTCTAGTCAAAGGTATTATAGTATTCTATGGCGACAACGCATTTGGATTCTTAATCGAGGATAAATTCTATGGATCGCAGCATCCACTTACCATCAGGTGGACTGTGTTCTCGTTCTTTAATCTATTCTATAACAAAAAGAATGTTGCCGGTTGCGAATGATTTTTATGTATATATGTTGTGTTAAGTATGGTTGGGTTCAGTTTTTACATCTGATCTTTTCTTTTTATTTATTTAAATTTTCGTGTACAGAAAGAGTAACAGAAACTTTTTTATCCATTATAGATTATTATAAATAATACTCATTGAGTGTCTTTTTTTTAAATTTACCACTGGTTCAGAAAAAAACCCATGTCCTGGGAAGAACCAGCAAGAAACCTAGCAGGCCAATTTTTTTTAAAATAACAGTTTACCATCATGTTACAATTAACAACACAAAACATATTAAAATAGTTTAGACATCACCCAGGGGTTATTATCATCCATAAATTCTTTAATATTATAATAACCCTTTTTGTACAAACTTAGTTTAATAAAGTTTTTGAACTTTGTGTAGGTCACATTTTGTAAATTTTCTAGGATTTTGTTGTAAAACCATAATACATCGCCCAAGAATGGATCACTGACTCGGTGGAGTCAAGTAACTGGTACTACTAGCTTGTGTCTGTTCCTAGTATTTACAAAATGAATATCACTTATATTTGTAACTATTTTTATTTTTGTGTACATAGATTATATTTTCATAAATGTATATAACAATTGTAGAGCCACGCTCAAGCTACCCTACTCTTCCCGAGCGTAGGCGCTCAGGCTGCCCCGCGTATTCTGGTGGGGCGAAATTTGGCTCGAGTTTAAACTAGCTCGAGGCAAACGAAGCAATAAGTCAGAGGTCCCCCTGCCACCAGATCCCCGCGTCGACGAATGTTCCTATAGGTGCCATAGCGGCAATGCCGATGCCGACGATGCAACTTCACAAGGCGCAGGTTCGGCCGCACATGGAATACTGTTCCCATCTCTGGGCCGGGGCTCCCCAGTACCAGCTCCTTCCACTTGACCGCATCCAGCGCAGCGCGGCTCGAATCGTCGACGACCGAGTGTTTTCCGATCGGCTCGATTCACTGGCACTGCGAAGAGATGTTGCACCTCTTTGCATTTTCTTTTGCATATACCATGGAGAGTGCTCTGAGGAATTGTTCGGATTAATCCTAGCCGCCAAATTTCGTGAACGCACTACGCGGCAAACGTCGCGATACCATCCACATCATCTGGATGCTTGGCGGTCCACCACTGTACGTTTCAAGAGGAGTTTTCTTTCGCGTACAACCTCTCTGTGCCGATACGACCTGGGGACCTTCAAGAAAAGAGCGTACTCCTTTCTAAAGGGCCGGCAACGCACCTGCAATTCCCCTGGTGTTGCGGTTGATCATGGGCGGCGGTAGTCACTTAACATCAGGTGAGCCGCATGCTCGTTTGCCCTCTCTTCTATAAAAAAAAAGACCGACTCATCGACCACGTCCAAATGGCTGCAGACTCTATGCTACAATGGGTCCCATCCACAGAGGTCATGATCCTTGGTGCTTTTAACGCTCACCACTCTGAATGGCTTGGTTCTCGTTTAAGCGATCATGCGGGAAGATCTATTTATGACTTTGCTTTGGAATATGGTCTGACAGTTTAGTAATAGTCACCAAAGTTACTCATCCATAAGTAGTAGACTGAACTCAATGTTTATGCCTGCATGTATTCCTCACGATTTATATAAAATAATTAATAAATTAAAAAATACTAACAGTGCTGGGGTAATGATGATATAATTACAAAAGTAGTTAAGTTAGTGGCAGTTGAAATTTCCCCAGTTCTAAGTTACGTAGTGAATTTATGTATAGAAAATGGTACTTTTCCTAGTGGTTTAGATATATCCGTTATAAATCCTTTATATAAAAAGGAGGACAGACATGACCCTAAAACAACAGGCCTGTCGCTTTGCTTCCAATATTCTCCAAAATAATAGAAAAAGTAATATATAACAACTTATATTCTTATTTGGAAATCAATAACATCTTAGCAAACGAACAATATGGTTTTAGAAAATGTAAAAACATAAATATGGCCATGTATGGATTTATGGAAAAAGTGATCACCGTTATGGATAATCGTACACCAACAACCGCCTTGTCCATGGACATGACCAAGGCGTTTGATTACGTTGATTTAAATATCTTAGTGCTTAAACTGGAAAAATATGGAATCAGAGGTAATGTGTTAGATCTTATTATTTTATACCTGAATGATAGGAAACAAATTACTAAAATAAAAAAGATCTGTCCGTGTACTAATATTGAAATAACATACCTTTCGCAACAAAAGCAAACAACCTACGGTGTGCCGCAAGGAAGCGTACTCGGTCCATTACTATTCCTAATATATATCAATGATTTGCCCCAAGTGACTCAGCACCCTATGACCTTATTTGCTGATGACAGCACAGTTTTATTCACGGGATGAGAAAAGGTCTCAATTGAATCGGACATAACTCAGAATTTATACAGGATGATAGACTGGCTGAATGACAATAATCTTAAAATTAATTTGGATAAAACACATATTATGTCATTAAAAAAAATGAAAAAGAAAAAAAAACAACCAAAACTTAATATTAACTATAAAACTAAAATCATAAACGAAAAAGAACACACAAAATTTCTGGGAATTTGGCTGGATGAAAAAATGACATGGAGTAAACATATTGAACACATAATAAAAAAGATAAATCAATTCCACTATGCACTACATAACCTTATAAAAATTACAAATTGTGAAACAGTCATAACCGCTTACCATGCATACGTCTCTTCAACATTGAGATATGGTATAATATTTTGGGGAAACTCTCCAAAACGCGATCTAATATTTAAAGCGCAAAATAAATGTTTACGAGCAGTATGTCAGTTGCGGGTTACCGATAGTTGCAAACCGCATTTCATTGATCTTAACATTCTGACCCTACCATCTTTATATATATTCGAAGTAGCTATGTTTGTAAGGAAACATTTTAGCATATTTGAAAACGTCAATAATAAACGACATAGGATCAAACTGCGTACAAAACCTCATAAAACAGCCCTGTATTCAAAAAGTTTCATGGGTATGACTCCTAAATTTTTTAATAAACTCCCAAAAAACATCAAAGAAACTGATAATATAGACAAATTTAAGAAATTGCTTTCGAGTTTTTTTTATGTATAAAGCATACTACTCTATCAACGATTACTTTGAAGATAAAATGAATGGTTTTTAGTACCTACAATAATTAATGGACGATTTATTTATTATATGTTTATATTTATGTAATTGATAATTAAGATAATAATTAATGTTATTTCTAAACATACTAATTATAATTGAAATTGTTATTTTATTAAAAATTAATTTTCATATTGCCAGGTGATAGTGATAAACAAAAATATATGCCTTTAGGCGTAGGCGAAACATAGTGTTACTTATCATACCTTTTCCACCAAGTCTGTAACTTTTTACCTATGTAATAAATTATTTGATTTGATTTAATTTGACTTGATTTAAAAGTGCTACCAGGCCTAAGTTCACGCATCAACGTCTCGGGATGCAAATACTAGCGTTCTTAAAAAGAAGTATAATTCCACATACATGTCCTTCAAAAATGTCATTGTCAAGGCAAAGTCAGAGTAGTTCGGCAGAATTGGCCAGAAACTAGTTCGTCTTCCTTCAGGAACACGTGCATTCTATTCTCTCGCCAAGGCTGTCCAAGGGAACTTCTGTCAGTCATCTCTCCCATCTCTGTACGTGAGGACGACTCACTGGTCCATGCCGCAAAGGGCAAAGCCTATCTGCTGTGCTCTCTCTTTGCGTCCAACTCGACTCTTGATGACGGGGGGAACACACCGCCGACCATCCCGCAGTTTGAATGCTCCATGCAGGATTTGCTGTTTACCCAACGCTCGGTGCGCAGAATACTCTTCTCCCTGGATGTCAGCAAGTCGAGTGGGCCTGATGGCTTCTCTCCTATTGTGCTGAAGACGTGTGCTCCGGAGTTGGCACCGGTTTTAATGCGTCTTTTTTGGTACTCCTACTCCCTAGGCGTAGTCCTGTAATCACGGAAGACAGCTTTCGTGCACCCGATCCCTAAAAAAGGTAACCGCCTTGATCCGTCCAACTATAGGCCTGTGATCTTCTGGGTTACCTAACTCATAAATGGGCGGAAGCAGTGGATGGAGGCAGAAGTCCATGGGGGATGCGTTGGCTGTTAGTTTGGACATAGCGAAGGCCTTTGATCGGGTTTGGCACAACGCTTCTATACGAAGCTTCCTTCCTATGAGCTTCCTGAGAAATTGTGCAATTGGATTACCAGTTTTCTTGCAGATCGGAGTATCAAAGTCGTTGTAGACGGTGCATGCTACGATTACAAGCCCATTAACGCTGGTGTTCCATGAAACTGCGTGCTATCACCAACGCTATTTCTTCTGCAAACCGGTAATATTCATTGCTATGCGGATGACAGCACTGGTGATGCTTCATAAACCGGCTGTGCCAATATTTCTCGGGAAAATGTCGCCGAGTACCGAGACAAACTTGTGTCTGGAGTCGAGAGTTTGTTGAACAAAGTCTCTGACTGGGGGCGATTAAATCTAGTCCAGTTCAATCCCCAGAAGATACAAGTTTGCCTGTTTACCGCTAAAGAGTACCCCTTCGTTGTATCTCCTCAGTTTTTGCCTTAGCCAGTGTCGGAATCCTCGGCGTTGACTTATCGAGTGACGTACAGTTTTGTGGTCACTTGGAAGAGAAGGCCAAATTGGCCTCTAAAAAGCTTGGCGTGCTCAGCAGAGCGTGACAGTATTTCATGCCGGCACACCGCCTGCAATTTTACAAGGCGCAGGTTCGTTCGCACATGGAATAATGTTACCATATGTGGGCTGGGGCTTCCCAGTGCCAGCTCCTTCGATTTGTTCGCATCCAGCGCAGAGATGTTCGAATCGTCGGTAATCGAGCTCTTTCCGATCGGCTTGACTCACTGCGAAGAGATGTTTGCATCTCTACGTATTTTATCGCATTTACCACGGAGAGTGCTCTGAGGAATTGTTCGGAATAATTCTAGCCGCACAATTTTACCTTCGCACATTACGACAAAACTCGCGAAAACATCTATACTATCTGGCGGTCTACCACTGCGATTTAAGGAAGTTTTTTTTCTCGTACAACTTCCTGGTGGAATCGACTACCAAAAGAGATTTTTCCGGACCAATACGACTTAGGGATCTTCAAGAAAATAGCCTACTCCTTTTTTAAAAGGCCTGCAACGCACCTGCAATTCACCTGGTGTTGCAGTTGCTCATGGGCGGCGGTAATCAGTTACCATCAGGTGAGCCGTATTCTTGTTTGCCCCCTCTCCTATAAAAAGGCCAAAGTTAATATATTAATATTCATAAATGTTTGTCTGAGCGACTGTTTAGGATTTAAATCATAGATTGCTCTTGTGACCGTCTTTTGTAAAATAAATATAATTTCAGTGTTGGCGCCTGTTCCCATAGCGAAATACCACACGAAATTATGCTATGGAAATAGCTAAAATAAACTAGTTTAGCTGTTTCAACACTGGTAAAAGTTCTAATCTTTTTACAGCATATGCTGCAGAACTAAGTCTGCTAGCTAGTTTTGATATATAGGGGCCCCATTGAAGTATTGCGTCTAGTGTGATTCCAAGAAAAATGTTGGTGGTATTATAAAGTGGTATAAAGGTAGTTTTTGGGTGATAGGCAGTGAATAAAATTGGAATACCGTTGCAGGTGGCGGCGAAAGCGAGAGCGGTGCGGGTAGCGGGGCGGCGCGGGGAGCGGGGCGTGCGGCGGCACTGCGGCGTGCTGGCCTGCCCGCTGCCGCGGCCGCCGCGCTGCCGGCCGGTTCGCTCGCCAGCGCCATGGTAACGCCACACGCCATACGATTATGCCACATGTCACACTCCACACGCCACATGCTACACCCACACACCACACACCACATGCCAAACTCCAAGTGTCACACGCCACGTGCCACACGCCATGTGCCACACGCCACGTGTCACATGTCACATGCCACGCGTCACTCACCGCGCGCCGCACGCCACGTGCCATACGCCACATGCCACACGCCCCCACATGCCAAACGCCACATGCCACACACCATGTGCCACATGCCACACGTCACATGCCTCACACCACGCGCCACGTGCCACACGTCACATATGACTCGCCACGCACCACACACCACACGTCGCATGCCACACGCCACATGCCAATGCCACGCGCGACACACCACACGCCACATACCACACGCCACACGCCACGCACCACACTCCACACGTCACATGCCACACGCCGCATGCCACACGCCACACGTCACATGCCACACGCCACACGTCACATGCCTCACACCACGCGCCACGTGCCACACGCCACATATGACTCGCCACGTGCCACACGTCACATGCCGCACACCACACGCCGCATGCCACACGCCACACGGTCACATGCCACACGCCACACGTCACATGCCTCACATCACGCGCTACGTGCCACACGCTACATGTCACTCGCCACGTGCCACACGCCACATGCCACACACGGCCAACGTACATGCCACACGCAGCAGCCATAGGCCACACGTCACATGCCTCACACCACGCACCACGCGCCACGTGACACACGCCACATATCACTCGCCACGTGCCACACGCCACGCACCACACGCCATACGTCACATCCCACACGCGGCATGCCGTACGCCACACGTCACATGCCACATACCACACGCCACGCACCGCACGCCACATGCCACACCCCGCATGCCACACGCCACATGCCACACGCCACATCGCCACGTGCCACACGCCACATGCCAATGCCACGCGCGACGCACCACACGTCACGTGCCATACGCCACATACCACATGCCACACGCCACGCACCACACGCCATACGTCACATGCCACACGCCGCATGCCATACGATCACATGCCACATACCACTTACCCCACCACACGCCACATGCCACACGCCGCATGCCACACGACACACGTCACATGCCACACGCCACGTGTTACACACCACATGCCAAGCGCCATTCGCCACACGCCACATGCCACGCACCACAAGCCACACGTCGCATGCCACACGCCACATGACAATGCCACGCGCGACGCACCACACGCCACACGCCACATACCATATGCCACACGCTCGCACCACACGGCACTCGTCACACGACACACGTCACATGCCACACGCCACGTGTTACACACCACATGCCAAGCGCCATTCGCCACACGCCACATGCCACGCACCACAAGCCACACGTCGCATGCCACACGCCACATGACAATGCCACACGCACGCACCACACGGCACTCGTCACATGCCACACGCCGCATGCCACACGCCGCATGCCACACGCCGCATGCCACACGCCACACGTCACACGCCACATGCCACATACCATGCCACACGCCACATGCCACACGCCACGCACCACACGCCACACGTCACATACCACACGCCACACTTCACATGCCACACACCACACGCCACATGCCACGCGCCACTCGCCACGTGCCACATGCCATATGCCACGCACCACATGCCAAGCACCACACGCCACACACACACTCCGTCATCTGCCGTACTCACTAGACCGTGGGCCTATAGAATTCCACGTTTATCAGAATTTGGATAACTTTTTGGTGGGAAAAAAAATTCAATACCTGAGAGGCAGTACAAAATGCCTTTAAAAGATTTGTTGCCTCCCGTCCAGTTGATTTCTTCATCAGTGGCATCAATAAACTGAGAGTGCGTTGGCAAAGATGCATCGAATGCATTGGTGATTACTGTGATTAATATAAATAATAAATATAGAAAAAAATTATGTTTGCTTATTTCATAAAAAAAAAAACTCCAATTTCACAGGTAAAGACCTAATGTCGCCTCTACACGTTGGCCAACACAGTGGCGAATGTAGTGGCGAATATATTGGCCGAGAGTTGGTGACGGCGTCCACACGTTGGAAGGTCGTTCAGTTTACTTCGGTTCGGGCCAATGTGCGGACGAATTTATAAGCACCGTGGCGCAGTGGCTCAGCAATGAGCGGCTGCGCCGGGCGCCGCGGGTTTGATCCCGCACGGAACAAGTATTTGTATGTCCTACAAATAATTGTTTCGGGTCTGGATGTGTGTCCTTGTGCAATTTATGTTTGTAAACTGCCTGCGCGATACGGGAGAAAATCCTTGTGTGGGGTTAACGTTTTTATAAAAGAATTATAAAATAATAGTGGATATTAATGGGGTTGTAAATAGATATACGATATACGATTAGCTTTATTTATTCTTTACATGCATCATAAACTGGAATAAATACCATTAATAAAAACTTAACTTATTTTAAAGTTAAAGGAGTTATAATCGATTAGTCTATGTTTTAAAATTGGGTTTTGATTTTAAAGTTTAGCAAAATATGTACTTGCATTTCTATCAGACATTTGATGTATATAAAAAACACCTTATAATTTATTTGTTAATTTAATTATTTTTTGAAAAAGACAAAAACAATAACAATAAATATAATTAACACTGACTTAATAATAGGTACTAATTATAACTTAGAACATAAATGAAAAACTCATGACGAGCAAAGTGGCTCAGGACCATGCTTTGCGGCAGTCTGTGGAGGAGGATGTTCAGTAGTGGACTTGTGAAGAGCTGCAATGATGATGATGATTCGAAAACTTGCACGATTAAATTATAAGAAATCGACGTTTTTTTATAGGATAGTGTGACAAACGAGCACACAGTTCACCTGATGGTAAGTGGTTACTGTGGCCCACAGACATCTACATCTATCCTCGATTACGAATCAAAATGCAGATGCGTTGTCACCCGTGAGGACGGAGGAGGAGGATGAAATGCCTCGTTTCCCTTAAAAAGGGTCTCTGGTTCTCTACACTCACTATACGAAATACAGCATCATTAAGCTACTATTTTACGCTGATATTCTGTGAGAGCGTGGTCCTTCCCCGGTCGAGCCGACCTTCGTGCTGCAACTATACTTCTAATATAATTGCATGGTTCTACCACGTATAAACGACGTGCTTCTTTTTTTCATTTTAAAATTATTCTCGTAATAATCTGATTGTAAAAAAAGTTAATTTTTTTTGATAAATAGCTTATTGATTAAAACAAATGTTCAATAATAATTAAATCGCGCTAATTAAAGTAGTAGGAATGTTTAAAGTTGAAATTGGCACTAGAAGGCTGGTAATTGGGGCATCCACCCTAAAAAGCTTGAATATAAAATTTAAATCAGATGCGTGTAATCACTCTGTGAGCTTGTGGCAAACTAAACGCGCGGCCAACGTGTGGACGCGGCGACCAAACTCCGCCAACAATCCTTTGATCTTTTGTAAAAAACCGACACCACACGGATCTCGCGCCAACTTGCGGGCCATCGTTCCAATACATACCAATGAAGCCCAAACACCCCGTCTACACGTTGGCCAATGCTATTGGCCACTACATTCGCCACTGTGTTGGCCAACGTGTAGAGGCGACATAATATAGAGGAACTATTTCCGCGGCTAGTCGCTGCTGGTGGTTCTGTTCTTGCTCAAAGGTTAACTTAAGGCGTTTTTGGCACTATACTATACCGCAGAGAGGAATGTATAATAATCTAAGTTTTCAGTTTTATATTTTTATCATAGTAATAAATATAAAAAATATTCCATTTTTGATTGAACAGGTAAAACATGTATGTTACAGAGTAAGCAGTTGGAAGTACGAGGGTGGATTGAAAAGTGCTCGGCCTAACCAAGAAAATAAACACATACTAAATCAGTTATATTTTTATTTTTCTACATAATCACCATCAAGTTCAATACACTTTTGCCACCTCCCCTTCCAAGCATTTAGACCGTTGAAAAAAAATGATTCTTCCTTAGAGTCAAAATATGCGTCTACAGCTGCTTTGACCTCGTCGTTTGTCGAAAATCTTTGACCTCCCAAGTGCTTTTTTAGGTTAGGGAACAGAAAGAAGTCTGATGGTGCCAGATCAGGTGAATACGGCGGATGCGGTAACAGTTCAAAGCCACAGTTGTGAATTTCAGCCATTGACTGTACTGACGTGTGAACACGGGCGTTATCTTGATGAAACAGGACTTTTCTTCTGAGCATTCCTCGACGTTTTTCTTTTATTTCCTCTCGTAAACGACGTAGTAAGGTGCAGTAGTAATCAGAGTTTATAGTCTGACCCATTTCAAGATAATCAATCATAATCACACCTTTCGAGTCCCAGAATACTGAAGCCATCACCTTATTTGCCGACAAAATCGACTTAGCCTTTTTAGGGGGTGGTGAACCAGGTCTTCTCCACTGTTTTGATTGTTGTTTTGTTTCCGGTGTACAGTAATGAACCCATGTTTCGTCCATAGTAACAGAACGATTCAAAAAATCATCTGCATCGGCTTCAAATAACTCCAAACAGTCGCGTAAATAGTCAATCGCGTCCTGTTCAACTGAAAGCAGTCGCGGAACCCACCTCGCAGACACCTTGTGGAAACCCAACTCGTTGACAATGATGTTTTGAATTCGTTCATAAGAGATTCCTATAATCTCGGCTATCTCTCTAATTTTTAATCTGCGGTCTCCCATTATTAAATCAAGTACTTTTTTAATATTTTCGTCAGTAGTTGACGTCGAAGGCCTTCCAGAGCGGGGTTCATCTTTTACACTCTCTCTACCACGCTTAAATTCTGCTATCCATTTTTTGACGGATGAATATTTATTTATTTATTTATATTTCCTACTAACATCTACCATTACAGGGAAAACCTAAATCGATAAATGTAGCACCTCAATTCAAAAAGTAACAATTCAAATGGTAAAAGATTACTAATTACAACACAATAATTAATTTAAATAACAATACATAATAATTAATTTCAATGACAATACATTACAATCAATTGTATACTACAATTTAAGAATAACATATTGTAAATAATGTCACTTTTGCGAATTCACTCCGTGAACACGAAAATAAGTCCAACTTCTCAGCTACCAAATTTAGTATGTGTATCGTTCGCGTGAGGGGGGTATTGCGAACCAGTTTAGTCCTGCCGCGTGGCATCGCGAGCAAGCTCGGCCGTCGTCGCCGCTGTACATACCTATCAGGCACGCATAAGCCTATCCACTGCAGCACACCCGGGTTGCTGATGTAACCACGGAACACCCTTAAAATGTAGATTACCAGCGCTAGATCTCTTCTAGTTTCCAACTTGTTGTATCCAACCATACCTAAAACAAACAAGGTTGGATACATCAAGGGGTAGGATGGATAAACCCCATAAAGCTTATGATATATAAATCGCGTGAATTTATTCTGAATGCGCTCCAGCATAAGATTGTATTTATTTTCATGTGGAGCCCATATTGCTGAGTTACACTCCAGCTGACTCCTTACTAGAGCATCATACAGCACTGAGATTGCTTTAATGTTGGTAAATTTTACTGCTCTGCGAATGATAAACCCTAGTCGTTTATAAGCTTTCTTACATATATTCATGATGTGCTCCCGGAATGTCAATTTGACATCCATCTGGACTCCAAGATCCCGGACTGATTCCTCCCTCTTCATTAGCTCGCCATTCACCTTATAGTTGTAATGGAGTGGTGCCCTTGCACGACTAAATGATAGAATAGAGCATTTTGAAATATTAAACTGTAGTTTATTTTTATGGCTCCATTCAACTACTTGGTCGATATCTTGCTGAAGGTGCCGACAATCATCCTCAGTCTTGATGGCTAAAAGCAACTTTAGGTCGTCTGCAAATAACAGACATTTAGCCTCTCTTACTACTTCGGGTAGATCATTAATCATTATGTTGAACTCTAACGGCCCTAAATTACTACCTTGACTCACGCCAGACCTAGTAAAATAAGGCTTCGACCGGTACCCGCCATACTCCACATACTGTTTTCTATCTCTCATGTAACTTGCAAAAAAAATGAAGCAGTTTAGGTGTGCAGCCAGCTTTCGCCATCTTTGACAGTAGGATATCGTTATCTACCAAGTCGAACGCCTTCCTAAAATCAAAGTAGGCGGCATCTACCTGCAACCCTGCATCAACATGAGGAACCAAATACGTCATGGCATTTAAGAGGTTACTAGTTGTGCTCCTCTCTAGTCGGAAGCCGTGCTGGGCGTCAATAATTGCGGTGCAACTTGTTCCTGTACACTTCGCTGAATGGCTCCCTCAAACACCTTCGCAGGTGCTGAGAGAATCGCCACTGGTCTGAAGGATTCAACTGTAGGTTTGTTACCTCCCTTAGGTATCGGAATAACACGCGTGATTTTCCAACTTTCTGGAAAATATGAATTCTTCAGACACAAGTTGAAAATATGTAATAACGGTTCTGCCAGCACTGAGCGGCAGTCTCGTATCACAAACGCCGGTATACCGTCCGGGCCCGCCGAGCGCTTCGGCTTGAGTCGGGCGAGCGCCGCGCGCACCTCACCGAGCTGCAGCTGCGGCACGTGCACGCGCGCGCTGCCCGCACCGCCCGCCAACACCGCCTCGTCTACGTTCAAACGCGCTGGCTCGCTGTTGTACACTGAATAGAAGTATTTGGCAAATTTAGTCGCACTTTCTTGATCTGACAAGCACAAATATGACAAAGCACAATCGCCTAATGTACTGACCATGTCATCATGGATGGCTTTTGATGATAGCCCCTTCTTATGGAGGTACTTAATGACGGCACGCTGCTCGATTTGCTCCATTCGCGGAAATTATGTCCGATTACTTTGTTAATAAATTTATAAAATCACAACTAATTATCGCACACGTTTCGAACTTCACACAATGAACTAGTCTGAACTGAACTAAATAATGTGGGTAGATTTGATTTTTAGAATTGAATGGATCTGTGTTAGGCCGAGTACTTTTCAATCCACCCTCGTATATAAAAGATAACATTAAAAAATATACAGTATGCAACAGCAATACTGCTTGCCTATTACAATATGATACATAGTTGCATTTCCACAATATAATTTACATTTTCCAAAGATTATTTATCCCAACGGCCATAATCATTAAGACTCTTAGAATTATTGCTCCCTCTTAGTGCCTGTATGATACTTTATACTACTATAACGAGCGGAAGAGTAGAGTTTTAATCTTACTTATTTGCATAGAAAATATAAACTGTTTGGCGGAATTAATATACGACATACGTGATAAAACCACGCTACAGCTTCATTATGGTTGTAGCACAAACGGATCCATTGATCAGGCTGGATCCACTCTCACAGAATACCCAGCATGATATAGCAGCTTAATGCTACTATGTTTCGTATGGTTAATGTAGAGAACTGGAGACCCTTTTTAATGGAACGAGATATTCCATCTTAATATTCCTCAAAAGTGACAAAGCATCTGCATTTTGATTCTTAATCAAGGACAAATGTAGATGTTTATGGGCCACAGCATCCACTTACCATAAGGTGGACTGTGTGCTCGTCTGTCACCCTAGTTTTATAAAAAAAACCTCCCATTGCCTAATAAGAAAAACATTAGCCATCATTTCCATGCTTGCTAGGAGGGTTAGCAAACCTAGTTTTATGCTATTTTCACTTGTTACCAAGAAAACGCTACTACTTTCTCCCGTTTTATTTTCCTCTGTCACAGCTATGGGATGATATGGTATATGAAATATGTGGTCGATTCTCTTATGGCACCACTACATGGTACGAGTAAGTGTCATTTCAAGAACAGTCTGATTGATTACCTCCTCCCTTTTTATATTGGTTAATGACTAGAAATATATGTAAATGAAAATTCTGTTTTGTTGTTATTGTTATATGTTATTAATTTTCACAGGTGGACACTTTGGAGTCCCTCAGGAAGAAGAAAGCAGAAGAGGAAGAAAAGCGACGCCGGCGCGAAAAACGGAGACGAAGGGAGAAACGAGGTGACTGTTCTATATAAACGATGACTTATATAGCAGCTAAGCTAAGCTATAGTAGCTAAGCGCTTAGCAGTGCCTGTCGGCTGTGGGTTCAAATCTCGCACGAAACAAATATTTGTATGGCCTTCAAATGATCTCGATTAAGAATCAAAATTTAGATGCATTTTTGCCCCCAAGGACAGATGGAATGACCTGTTACCGGTGCCAATATGAAACACAGCAGCATTAAGCTGTTATTTACTCTGGTATCATTCTAGATTTAATAGATTTTTCTAGCATTTTCCTCTTACAACACCAATGAATGTGATGTGAGAGGATGAATCATAGAATACTATAATACACAATAGAATGGCTGTCAACCTTATTTTGTAGGAGGATTGGTGTCGCCGGGAGCTATCACTACTAGAAATACATTTTGGACTTTTGATTAATGTTTTTGACACATAAATGTTTCTTTATTTTTGTTTCTAATATTCACAAAATATAAATAGTTTCGACTTACTGGTTGTAGAATATGTTTCCTTTATTTAAATTCCATTTCCCGCTGTTCTTTCGACACGTAATTATTGCACAATTTGCCATTTTTTAAATAATTTGCATGCAGTGATGCTTGACACGAAAATTGGAAACGATTGATTGTGTTGACATTTATACGTGTGAATTGAAATGTTAGTGACATTTTAGTGGCTACACGGGCTCCGCCCACTCCCCCGTTCGTATTATGTATGTATTATAGTATTCTATGGGATGAATTCTCTTAAGCTGCCACCTGGCCGCTATAGTACATTCAAGAGGCTAATGTGCAATCTATGTTATATAAAATGACTTACAACTTTTTAAAAAATGGTGGCACTGCTGAAAACAGACTTTCCTCCACAGATTGCAATGGAACATAAGCCTCATTGCCCTCTTGTCATTTCATTTAACTTATAATGTTAGTGGTGGCAAACAACCTAACAATTCACCAATAGTTTATGGGCTACTGCAAGACCGACAAACATGCGCCAACTGTTTGAGCAAGTACCAATTTGCATGTGGTAGAGCCATGCTGCTGATATATTATGGTTGTACTGCATATATGTAGATCGTCTCGACCGGGGAGCACCACAATCTTATAGAATACCAGCCTAAGATACTAATACAAAATTTATTTATTTCTAAATGCAGAGTAAACACACTATTTTGTAGTAGTCATTTTCATTTTAACAATTATTTATTTATTTGCCACACACACATTGGGCCACAGCCCAACACTATGCGAACTTGACTCGTGGATATCGACAACAAAACAAATATTTTACAAAAACTAAAAAAACATTTGTAACAAAAAAAATACTTAAAGTTACTAAATATATAAAAATTAAGTAAAGTTACAGCCTGTATACGTCCCGTTGCTGTGCACAGGCCTTTTCTCATTTCTGAGAGAGCTTTAGGGCAAGGAAACGTTTGCCGCGCTGCCCCAATGCGTGTTGGCGAACTTCGCATGCCTTCAAAATTTATTTTTAGACATGTATTCCCCACGATGTTTTCCTTCGCCGGTAAGCATGTGGTAAATCAGTACTTTAAAATTTAAATTAACGATTTCATTGGTGCCGGTGGAGGTCGGCAGGGATTGAACCCGGGTTACTTGCGTAGGTAATGTGCAATTTACAGACAACGCTAAGGCCCTGAGCTAGCACAACCAAATATATAATGGCAGCTTAATGCTCCTGTGTTTCGTATCGTGAGTGTAAAAAACCGGAGACCATTTTTACTGATAACAAGGCTCTCTTCTCTATAACTCTACTCTATCTCACGTAAAGCCCGCGCCTTAATTTCTTCGTAAACGGATATGGAGTGTTTGTGGCATTCGTCTGGGTAGGCCTTTGTTCAGCTGTGGACTTGTGAAAGGCTGTAATGATGATGATGAAATGGCTAGTAGCTTTAATCATTTTGACCGAAATTCTAGAGCTATCGTTCCATTCACGACTTTTTACTATTGAAGATATTTGTATTTCACATATATTATTGGTCATTAGCCTGACGTAATATATTTATTTTGGGGTTTCTATCAGGCGCCTGCTCTGCGACACGGCTACTTCTAATTCTATTCCATTAGAGACAATAATAGTCCATAGTCTGGCTCACCGAGGGGATGTAGTGACCATGCTTGACAGGCAAGTTGGCAACCATATTTTTATTTTATTTTGAGTTGTTATGCGGGAGATGTGCTTCACGTCTCCTGTTTCAATTTCCCTTTGTCGTCACTTACTACACCTACGGAACGATATGGAACTGTGAATATTCTCACACAGCCGCTACAGTGCTCTAATTCTATAACCAACATTAATTGATTGATTATTGACAACTCATTTACTAACCACGTGCTCGGTGGTGCCACGTGTGACAATCCGCCTACACACACTGGGGCAACACATTGGACACATCATTGCCCTATAATCCTTAGGAAGGTGGGGAAGTTTGTGTCCTAAATTGAGACGCATATGTATATATATATATATATATATATATATATATATATATATATATATATATATATATATATATATATGCCCTAATTTTAACCTTTTGTTTTGCAGAGTACGAAGAAGAATCAACCAGGCACAGGAAGAGTAAACGTAGGAGGCATAAGTGAGTGTAACATGTTGTGCTTTATTATTATGTGTACTGTACTGTGCACCACAAAAACGATAAGAGAAAAATAAACAGAACTTAGTTAACTTATACTCACTGACTCATCACGACATCTCTAAAACTATATACATGATTGACTAGAAATTTAGTACTAAAAACGGATTTTAATGTCAAAAAAAGTAATACCTTCTGCAATAAAATATTATCCCAGTAAAGCAAGCGGGTAACATAACACAATATGTAATCCACTAATACATACAGTATAAAATATAATAGACATAGGTATATAAAATTAAATAGGTAAACACACAAAAATTACATTACATTACATACATACAATTACATTACAGAAAGTATACAAAAATCAAAATGTCGCAAATGATAACCAGATATTATAGAAGTGCTAGATAGTGATATTTAACGTCAGTATTAAATTTATCTAGTGTTCTTGCACGATGAATTTGCGGAGTAAGTCCGTTCCATAAGCAGATGACGTTGACTGTGAAGGAATTATTAAAATATTTAGTTTAATAAGAATGTGGCGCGAGTAAACTTCTCTGTCTGACCGTAGAACTCCAACCAGTATGTCATGACCGAGGAACATCAAAGTTTTGGTTCTGATAGCTAGAAGTCATTGAATAATACCAAGTACAGAAGAGAAACAATTCGTAGATTCCGGCGTAGGCGAACGATAATCTCGTTGAGCGAATCGAGCGTACCACTTGAGCTTTAAATGTAATTCGGAGACATGGTCATATTTGTACAAACCAAATATGAACCTAATAGCTAGCTACTAGCTATTTTGAGTACACTCAAGTTTGTTTAGTTGCTCCTCACTTTAAATTACAAAATAGATTGTAAGTTACACATAGGGGATCACATGCTTGACAGCAAAGAAAACATTGTGGGATAACATGCTTGTCCGAAAATTAAAAAAAAAAATCGAAAATATGGACAACTTCTTTGCCCTTAAACCGTCTCAGAAATGAGAGGCCTATGCCCGGCTGCGGGCCGTGTATAGACTAATGTTACTCAACTTTATTTACGTAAGAGACTACTTTAAAGCCCGTCTGAGGGAGTCTGTTTGTCGTCATGCTGCGACATCGCCGGTCTTTACATGTGACGCAATAAAGGTTTTCAATAACCTTTATTTTATTGCCCTTTTATATTATTAGTTCTTGAACGACAGAGTTTCGCTCTGCGTTAGAATAAAAATTGTAATTTTTTCAGTGATGGCACGGAACTAGATAAACATGTAAAGTATAACATTCGCATAATATGACATGTCACAGTAAACATTCTTATCCACTCAAGCGTCCAGCCCTCGCGACTGATTTACCCTTGTACGTCCGGATACGCGCGGCCCTAATTCGGCTGCTACCGCGCTTGCGTGTTGTATAATAAAACCCATACAGCTACTTAACTATAATAGATAGAGTAGAGACAAAAACTATTAAAAATTGACAGAAGAATGCGAATTAAACCTATGTATGTTTTAAAACCCAAAAATTTTATTTATGATATTAAAAATAGTTGTGAACATTGAATTTGGAGAAAAATAAACGTATAAATTTTATTAATTTACACTTCAACGAAGAAATATTGGAGACTTATTTTCCTTTTTTATGATGCATATATATGTTAATGTTTAATTAGCGTTATGTAATTATATAAATCGAAACAAAACATCTACTCCTCGTAATTTTAACGCGATGCCTCGAGCGCTTTGAACTCGCTCGCGAAGGCAAAATATAAGCAAGATGGCCGCCTATGTAAGGTCTCACATTTTGTAATTTACGCAACTTAAAAAAAGGTAGTTACGAGATTTTTTTAAGTTGGGGTTTTAAATTAAACATCAATAATAAAATTAATGTACAGTTTATTGAAATAATAAAAAAATATTTTACAAATAATAGTATTTTATTTTAAACTAAGCATTAACTTAAACTAAATATTTACAAAAAAACGACCAAATGAAAACTAAAATAAATAAATAAAAAATAATAAATTATGTGTGATACTGCATAAAACAACCATCAATACATACGTTTTTGTTACATAACAGGCACTTCCAAATCGTTCTGGCTGTAACTTTTCGCTGGGCGCACAACCAACAGCGACATTGCTTAAAGCCGGTTTTGACTGGGAAATGTCGATGCTCGATTTTAGGTGTGCTGGTCGTAGTTGTCATTGGCCTTTTCGTCAGTCCAGTTCTTGGATTTATAAGTCGTGATTCTGTCGTGAGATCAGTAAGTCGGTGTAACCTTAGTAAGTCTTCCGCCAAAGTTGCCCTGAATTGTCTATGTGGTATATTTGGATTGGCCGTTTTAAATAAAATGAAACAGTTAAAAATGGCAAATTTAAAGAGACGACGAAACACCTTTTTGTACCAATTTTTATTTCGTGTACGTTCCATGGGCTGAGCAGACAAGAACTGGTCCTTCCTGTCCATTCCTTCCATGGACTTGTTGTAGTCCAAAACAACGCTTGGCTTGTATTTCAGTCGGTCATATTTTTGACACGTACCAATCTAGAGGCGATGGGTAACGTCGAAAGCACCCTAACTAGGTTAGCATCTCGCCGTACGATTACCGACAAATCGGAACAGTAGCTCGCCAATACTTCACCTTGTCTTAGTTCCGTCTTTGTTATTGTTTTCAAAGAATCGGGAAGAAATTCCCGATTCAGTCGTAAGGTCCCAAAGAAGTCTGTTTGTTGTTGTTTCAGACACCACGTTAATAATGGGCTATTGTAAAAATTGTCCATTATTAAATGCGTTGTTACCCGTGAGGACTGAGATGCAATGCCTCCTTTCCAGTAAAAAGGGTCTCCGGTTCTCTACACTCACCATATGAAACACAGCAACATTAAGCTGCTATTTTACGCTGGTATTCTGTGAGAGCATGGTCCTTCATCGGTCGAGCCGATCTATTCGTGCTACAACTATACTACTAATATAACTGCAGCATGGCTCTACCATGTATAATTTTTTATATAAAGTGAGAAAAACAAAATATACAAAACTAGTTTTTATAAAATACAAAAAATTTAAAATACCTCCTAACTTGAGATGGTCCACTCCCACCTCCAGTACGAACCCCTTGGCTTCTATGACTTCCACGAGCCAAGTTAGTTTCGGTTGGTGATCTAAAATTGTTGTATGTATTAATTTAAACCATTAATATCATCAAGGAAAAAAACAATAATAATGTAATGATTTCTTAAATTTACGCGAACACTACACATTGAATAAAACTAAATTTACGGATTTTATCGCATTTATTTAACTACTTTTACTTATTTTTAATTCCCGACGTTTCGGGTGCTTTACAGCAACCATGGTCACGGGGGGGACTGAGATGTTTGACGTCCCAATGTCATAGTTAGTCCGGCTACCTTCAGTTTTTGAATATTAATTTTTGGTCCGATTTACGCAAAACGAGCTTATAGTATCATGAAGTCTTGCAGTGGTATGCTTAGGTTTGGGTTGCAAGACCACTGCAAGACTTCATGATACTATAAGCTCGTTTTGCGTAAATCGGACCAAAAATTAATATTCAAAAACTGAAGGTAGCCGGACTAACTATGACATTGGGACGTCAAACATCTCAGTCCCCCCCGTGACCATGGTTGCTGTAAAGCACCCGAAACGTCGGGAATTAAAAATAAGTAAAAGTAGTTAAATAAATGCGATAAAATCCGTAAATTTAGTTTTATTCAATAATAATGTGTTAAAGAAACATTAAAAATTACGATTAATGATCATTATAAATTATTAGGAAATAAAATTCAAAACCAGCACCACCCAAGACTAAGACCGTAAAAATAACAAAGCAAAACATCTGGCAAACATATTTTGCTGTTTCTACCGACCCTTATTTAGAACTATTGTCGTTACGTCCGTGGATATAAAACTAGCCACAACAAAAAACCTGAGTAACGCACTAACATTTTTAACGAATCTTCAATGAATATAGTTTATTTCTGTTTGTAAAGTTCATTATTATGATTATTACGAACTAACACTCGTTTGCTTATATATAATTTTAGTGAAAAACAAAGTAAACAAAAATAAACTTGGGCTGACAACTTGAGAGCGGCCATTTCTTTCGAAACAGCTATACTTTAAATTAAAAATAAGACTCGATTTTACACTAACAACTGTGATATGTATAAGTAATTATAAAGTATAAATCATCTAGTTTGTTGTGACGTATAATATTTTAAGTAATATTAAATAAAACTAAAGTACTTACGACATAATCGTTGATACTCCACAAGCACTTGTTTACAAAACACCGAGAGTAGAGTAGACTGTTGTTAAATAATTACGGTTCATTCGTTAAGGCTTTTTACAGTGCGATCTCGTTTGTAATACGTAAAGTAGTTCGTCAACTATCGATTCCAAAGAACAACACTTATAAAAATTACCGCAAATGTCCCTAGATGTCAGTTTTATAAAACTGGACGCTAACGCTACTTCACTATCCGGGACGTACAACGCTACTTTTGTTTTGGCTAGCGTAGTAGCCATGGACGTTTGAGTGGTTATATACTTATTATTTTTAGTAATGGTCACGTTGACGTGACTGCCCTGTTGGTCTAGTGGTAAACGCTACTCCTGGCCCCGCGTTCGAATTCCGGATCGGGCAAAACAACTCAGTTATTGAGTTTAACAGTCAAGAAAATCTCGGTAGCAGCATAGTGAAGTGGTGTTGGACCCTCGAGCTGCCGTTGGTCCTGCACCTGATGTCTCTCCGGTCGTGTCGGATTACCGTCCGCGTCCCACCGGACTGCGAGTGAGGGAATAGAGAGTGCAGCTGTGCTTGCACGCTCACAAAAGTACAATAATTCCGTCCTGCGAAGACGGCTAAGCTCCGTCAATATTGGTCGCCTAAACCAAAAATTGCTCTGGAGGTCATTATTAGTTTTGGTTAACTGCATTACATTATTAGTATTTGTTAACATATTGATATGAAGACTGTATAAAATATCCTTATTCCTTAACTTATGTCGATATAATCATTAGACCACAGGCCTCCCACATAGAGCCTCATAGGTTGGATTCTGCCGTGGTTGTCATGCTGGACAGGATCGGCTACCTAGTTTTTCATCATTTTCAGCTGTCATCAGGAAGATGCTGCTGCCTATCCCCTATTTCAATTTCCCTATGTCGCCTCTCACGACATCTAGCGGATGATATGGGATAGTTGATATTCCTCCACTGTCACTACACGGTTAATTAATAACAATTTAATTATCATCATCACAATTGCATCACTTCACAAGTCTAGCACTAAACATAGGCCCCCAAAGCACGATCCTGATCCACCAGAGGTCGCCACTCCATTTGGTGTGATACTGCTCACTCGAGAACTTTCTTTCCCATTGGTTGCTGGTTTTTCGAGCTATATGGCCAGCCTATTGCCACTCAGCATACTGATTCCTTAAACTATGTCGGTTAATCTGGTTCCACTGCTGATATCCTCGTTATGAAGTCTACACACTTTTCATTTTTTCATCTTTACATTCTTTTTGATCACGCAGAGGAATCCGAGTATAGCCCTCTTCATAGCCCGCTGAACGAGCTTGTGCTTCCTCATACGGCCAGCAGAGACAGACCACATATCAGATCCATGTTTCATCACGGGCACGTGCAACACGAACGGTTACACGGTAGAGCCATGCTGCAGCTATATTACTGGTATAGTTGAAGCACGAATGGCTCGGCTCGACCGGGAAGTGCCATGCTCTCGTAGAATACCAGCGTAAAATAGCAGCTTAATGTTGCTCTGTTTCGTATGATTAGTGTAGAGAATCGGAAAGCCTTTTTGTTGGAAACGAGGTATTCCATCTTAGTCCTGACGGATGACAACGCATCTGCATTTTGATTCCAAATCGAGGATTGATGTAGATGTCTATGGGCCTCATCAACCACTTAACATCAGGTGGACCGCGTGCTCGTTTGTCACATTTATCATATAAAAAACATGATAATTACTAATAAATATAGCCATTATCAGTATCATGTAAATTTCAACAAATTTACCTAATCAAACTTCGTGTCAGGATCAAAAGCTATTGTATTTTTTAGCGCAGAATCTTGTCGACTTTGTGTATTTGTATATTTGAGATATATAAAATATGAGAGATAAGAGTGTTTTGTATATCTTTTATCATAAATGTGTGACGTGAACGTTTGTTTTTCGCAGGTCGTCCGACGAGGAGCACTCAGACTATGACGGGTGAGCTTTTTGTATTGCGTATCTTTAATAGCCATTCTAAATATCAAATATATGGGAACCCAATAATTTGACAACTCTAGTAAATATTTTATTTCTCCAGAAAATTAAATATTTATCGACATATAAATTAATTACGTCAAATAACCACATCTTTGTTCGTGGTAGAGCCATGCTCCAGCTATATTATGGTTGTAGGGCGAATGGTTTGGCTCGACCGGGGAAGGACCACACTCCCATAGAATAGGAGCTCAATGCTGTTGTTTCGTATGGTGAATATAGAGAAATGGAAACAAGCATGTGTTCAGGGGTGACAACCAATCTTCATTTTTGTTCTCAATCGGGGATAGATGTGGTTGATGGCATGCACTTACTATCAGGTGGATTATGTACTCATTTGTCATCCTTATTCTATAAAAAATAAACTGAAACTTTTTAATTGGATAAAATGTTAACATTTTTAGGGTTCCGTAGTTTAACAACAAAGAACGCTTATAGTTTTTTTTATCTTGCTATTAAGATTAATATCTTTATAGGTCTAAAAAGAAGAAGCGCAAAAAAGAGAAGAAACACAGTTCCAGAGATAAGAGAAAGCGAAGGAAAGAGATAGAATTAGAAGATGAAATAATGCCGATAAACATTGATTTGACTAATACACTTAAAGAACTTCGCACGGCTTCTCCTACCAAGGAACTAGGTTTGGACAAAGAAATAGATGATGCTCAACACTCTTTTGTCAGAAATGAATCCTCAGATGATGATTTAGAAGAAAAAGATCGCCCAAAGGAAAGGAAAAAGAAGAAAAAAGAAAATAGGGAATACAGTGAGGGGGAGTGGTCGAGTGACAGCAACGAAGAATCTAGTTCACCTGATTGAAAAGTCGATGCCTAGAAACTGAGTCGTTGCATACATACATATAAATAGAAATTACTTATATGTATGTATTATTTACTTATAAATAAATTATCAAATTAAACCCTCTTAAATTCTTGTTTTAAATAATTAATTTTTAAACAATATAATAAAATGAAAATCGTTTGTTCGTTTGTAGCAATCTTTATTTATAAGAATAACAAACTAACGTGAGTCCACTTGACAGTCAATAGCTACTTCAGTCCATGGTCACTTGCGTGCATTTGCATTAAAGAGCGACAAGAAGAAGGTTACAAATGCATTAGCACCAACTTGGACCAATCCTTCTATTCAAACAGAGCAGTGCAGGTGGTAGACAGCGGTAAGAGCGTGGGTTAACTTAATTACTGTTGTAAAATAGCTCGCTGCATTCTCTTTCTGTGTACTATTGTCTCTTCCTTTTTCTATGATAACAATAACCATTGTTTTCTTAAAGAAACAGTACGTGCCTTTGTGAGCTAGAAATTGCAAACTTGCTCCCAGTGACTGCCATTAAAAGCCTTTGTTTTAAGTTTAGATTTACCGATAAGTTTTACGACTAAAGACACCAAGCGTTATTTTGTACATTTTACATATTCAAAAAGACTCGCAAACTAAATTCATTGCATTATTTATTACAGTAGGTGTTTTATAAATCTTAAAGTGATGATACTTTTTAGCATATGTTAGAATATAAGGCTTTTAAGAAGACATTAGAAGTTAATATTTACAACAAGTGAGTGGCGAATGTGCTCATAGTCCATGCACACAACAGCCACTCTAAGCAAGGAAGGTTACAGATTGTTACAGCCGTGTTCGTCAGTTCTGAAAATAAGATTCGCCATGTTTTTGCGGTGTGAGAGAATCACCCATTTTTTATCATGTGAAGTAGACATGTGTCAATCATGAATGATTCGTTCGTTTGAACTGGTACACTAAAAAGTATTGATGGTTCATTCATCTATCTGCGGGCATATATATATATATATATATATATAAAAGTTAAAAAAGTAAAGTTACAGCCTATATACGTCCCACTGCTGGGCTCAGGCCTCCCCTCATTTCTGAGAGGGTTTAGGGCAAGGAAGTGTCCGCTGCGCTGCCCAAATGCGTGTTGACGAACTTCACATGTCTTCGAAATATTTTTTTTTCTTATTCCTCAGACATGCAGGTTTCCTCACGATGTTTTCCTTCACCGCCGAGCACGTGGTAAATCAGCACTTAAAATTGCAATTAACAATTTCATTGGTGCCGGCGGGGATCGAACCCGGGTTACTCGCGTTCTGTTATATTTACAGCGAGCGTTAACCACTGAGCTACCACGGCTATATATATATATATATATATATATATATATATATATATATATATATATATTTTCAATATTATATAAGAACTCTATTTGTATTCGGTGCATGCGGGCCGGCTCAAAAAAGTGACGCATCTCTGGCTGCCATTGTATCACGTTTCTTTTATAACGAACTGACGTAATGCGCGTTTTGTTTATTTTAAAGGGATGAATTTGCAAAAGCTCAATATGGTAATATATTGCTTCAATTGTTTTTTTAAATATGAAACTGTTATTAAATGAATTGCTGCGTTACTTACCATAAATTGAAATATAAGCGATGTGCCGTAAGATCTTACGATGTTTATAGGAACCACAGACAATATTATTTAAGAAACAAAAACAAAACATATGTGCTGACCTTGAAGTGACTTAGTGAATAACATCAATATTTAAATTTTGTTATCACATCTAAATTGAGATTTTGTAAGTTACGCCTTATGACACTCGGCTCATATCTGAGGTCATCGTCCGTTTTTCTTAATCGATTTGGCACGAACTATAATCGAATAAAGATTACTGGCCTCAAGGAAAGGGTATTCTACTCAGCGGAAACTGTTGGCATTAACGGCAGCCTTTAGTCTTGGTTAATTTTCCGAAAAAAAATTTAATTATGTAGTTTTCTACAATTTATACATATTTTACATATTTTAAAAGTTCCACGAATTGAAATTGTTAGGCTAATTACCCAACAGTAGTTGCGTATGATATGGTGCGAGACAGTGAGTATGTTTATTTTACAAATGATATAATATATTTTAATAGCATAGTATCATCAAATTTAATCATGTTCATAATATTTTTTATTTGCTTTCAGAATTTAAGTAGTATTATATTAAAAAATCTTAAATTAATTTTGATAAATGTTGTAAAATGAAATACATCTTAACAAGACGTTAATCAAGTCTAATATAACATTAGAGATTGTCAAAGTATTCGTAGTATCTTTGTATTTGTTGAAGCAGATTGCATTGTGTATTTGGATAATATAAGTAAATACCGATTCAAACCGAGAGCCTCGGCAGGAATTAAGTTTATGACGCCTATGTTGATAATTAACATTAAAGGTACTAAACTATACAAAAAATATTCGTTTAAATCACTCGCACATTATACAAAACTTAGACTGAAAATAATGGGTAGCGTAGTTGTAAATAAAATGAACACATGAAAATATCGCTCATCTGTATCTTCCTTTGTGGGTATTTCTACAGCCTACGGTGGCTACATCTACGGCGTAGCAGTGTTTTATTTAATTAGTGTTTTCTTCTATTATATGGGAATAATGACATGCTATATACAAAAAATATAATAAAAAGGTTTTTCTCGCTTAAGTTTATATTATATTATAAACATTGGTGCTAAAAGCGTAAAAGTTGATGAAGATGAGTTTAGAAACCTAAAATATTTTTATTCATTGTGGATTATTACTCATTACTCATTACAGGAGACGTATTGAGAGATTTTAAAATCTTTAGTGTTACCTCCTGCTGTCAAAATTTTTTGTGAAAGCCATGTCATTAGAATTAATTACTTTAATTTTGGGTTCTTTTAGATTAGACAAATGAGATGTTTTGAGTCAGTGTTTTATTGCATTCATAATTTTCAATAAAAAATAATTTTATATTTAGAAATATAACTAATGTCGCATTATTAGATCTTGCCCAGGCGAAGCCGGGGCGGGTAATAGGCTATTAGTTTGATAAATTTTTTGGCATCCTTCAGATATGTCCATGAGTATATTTTGTGTGGACTGTAAGTGGCTTTTAAATGGATGCTGATGAAAGGAATTGTTCGAAATAAAACACCCAGAAAGAATAGAAGACGTATTCAATTCCACTATTACATAGTCACAAATCACAATAAACAAAATAGTACTACGTAAATACGTCTAATTTGATGCACATATCTTTAGATATGGTGGACCCTCAGAGTAATACGTATGTGTGTAATTAATCTAAGTGGTGTCCTGTTGTCAAACAATAACTTAATTAAAGATTAATTTTAATGTTGCGTTGCGTTAGAGGACATTGTTTAGTGTAAGTCTGTGGCTAATGTGTTGGTTTTGACTTACAAGAGAATTTTTTTATAATGTTAACGATGAAAGTACTCTGTGCAGCGACACTAATATAATAACTTAGAAAGAAACATGTAAGAATAGGTAAAAATATATAGTTTTATATCAAAGGTTGTTTTTTTTTTAATATCCTTCACTGGTAATTTTGGTAACTTATCCTACGTTACGTATTGTATCTATTTTTAAACTACTTCAAAAAAGGAAGTTCTTTATCTTATTCTCTAGTCGATGAAGTACTGTTTTTACGTTTTTACCAGACTGTCCCAGAAGTGCCCAGAAGGATAGTATAGTAGGTTTGGCCAAAGACAATTTTTTAAATGCAGGTAAATATAACTTAGAGTCATTACCATGTTCTTATCTAAAAATAAAAATTATCAACAGTTAAAATATCGAATTATTTGTATGAAGGTCACGTGAGCGCTAGAGAAACGACGATTGTAAGACGTTGTTGAGAAATAAAATGTTTAATGAAATAGTACAGTAAAAATAGAATTTAACTTTCCACTAAATTTCCAAAACGAATTTTTGAAAAGCTTAGAAAACAAAATTGAAACCATTTTGTATAAAGACAAGCTGAAGTTATTCAAAGATCTTTATTACAAAAGTCGCCTTGAGCTAGAACTTCTGCCTAATGAAGATATATCTCTATATTTGATTTGGAGGATGTTTATGTTCTATTGTTGCTTAATTATATTACAGATTTTTAAAAAAGTATTCGTTAATTAATAATGAATGTAATTATGAAGGCTGATTAAGTTCATGTTCGTAAATTACTTTTAGATAGGTAAGTTCTTTAATGCTAATCAGATTGTCAATTTAGAAAAAAATACATCGTCAATTTAGAAAAAGTTCGTTAAAAATAAAAATAAATATTTATATTATTCTACTGCATTTTATTTTTATTTCAATAATTAAAATTATCATATATCATAATAATATAAATGTAGTTATAAGTAGGTACTAAATGTATAAGAGTAGGTTCGAGTTCATTATTGGATGTCCATGACTAGGTTTAAATTCATCACTGGATGTCCATGACTAGGTTATGTTTATTACTGGATGTCCACAACTGGTTTTTAGCTGTCCATGACTGGGTAAAAAAACTAGGATTTTTAATTGTTAAAAAAATTAAAACCAGCTTTGCTCACGCGTAACACAGTAAAAATATTGCCTATGGACAAGACTTTACACTTTAAGTATATTCAGTACTGAAACTTTCACGATATTGATAAAAAATCACAAAAACCACAATTTATTTCTTAAACTGTCCATAACTGGGTTGTTTACGTTACTGGAGGTGAATAATTTTATTTAAAAATATTTCATTACAAGCAACATAGTTTGAAACACGAAAGAACTTATTTATGAAATGTTATCCCTTTATTAGAAAATTTGCAAGTTGTGGAAGAATTTCCGCAGTTGGATATGCTTTAAAACACAATTTTTACGTCTCTGCGTCCGAAACAACACTGTGACCGAAACAAACGCTCCTCGCGCGCTTGTGGCCTACGAGCCACATGTGCGGCGACAAGGTGTATTCCAAAGATGTTTTATAGGTAC